GTTTATGTAGGTCTTGCAGTCGTTTACTGTGTATCTAGGTCTAACAGTCTTGTAATGTATATGAAGGTCTTACAGTCTTGTAATGTATATGTAGGTCTTACAGTCTTGTACTTATGTGTATGTAAGTGTTACAGTCTTGTAATGTGTATGTAGGTCTAACAGTCTTGTTGTGACTCGGAGATATGGTTTTCCCTAAATACTTCTTATATAGCAGTCTTGTAATGTGTAAGTTGGTATTACAGTCTTGTAATTACTAGTATGTGTATGTAGGTCTAACAGTCTTGTAATGTGTATGTAGGTCTAACAGTCTTGTTGTGACTCGGAGATATGGTTTTCCCTAAATACTTCTTATATAGCAGTCTTGTAATGTGTAAGTTGGTATTACAGTCTTGTAATTACTAGTATGTGTATGTAGGTCTAACAGTCTTGTAATGTGTATGTAGGTCTAACAGTCTTGTAATGTGTATGCAGGTCTTACAGTCTTGTAATGTGTATGTAGGTCTTACAGTCTTGTAATTTGTATGTAGGTATTATAGTCTTGTAATGTGTATCTAGGTCTTACAGTCTTGAAATGTATATGTAGATCTTACAGTCTTATAATTATGTGTATGTAAGTATTACAGTCTTGTAATGTGTAAGTAGGTCTAACAGTCTTGTAATGTTTATGTAGGTATTATAATCTTGTAATGTGTATGTAGGTCTTACAGTCTTGTAATGTTTATGTAGGTCTTGCAGTCGTGTACTGTGTATCTAGGTCTAACAGTCTTGTAATGTATATGAAGGTCTTACAGTCTTGTAATTATGTGTATGTAAGTGTTACAGTCTTGTAATGTGTATGTAGGTCTAACAGTCTTGTAATTTGTATGTAGGTTTTACAGTCTTGTAATGTGTATCTAGGTCTTACAGTCTTGTAATGTATATGTAGGTCTTACAGTCTTGTAATTATGTGTATGTAAGTACTACAGTCTTGTAATGTGTATGTAGGACTAACAGTCTTGTAATGTACATGTAGGTATTACAGTCTTGTAATGTTTATGTAGGTCTTACAGTCTTGTAATGTGTATGTAGGTATTACAGTCCTGTAATGTGTATGTAGGTATTGCAATCTTTTAATGTGTGTGTAGGTCTTACAGTCTTCTTATAATGTGTATGTAGGTCTTGCAGTCTTGTACTGAGTATGTAGGTCTTAGTCTTGTAATGTGTATGTAGGTCTTACAGTCTTGTAATTATGTGTATGTAGGTATAACAGTCTTGTAATGTGTATGTAAGTCTTACAGTCTTGTAATGTGTATGTAGGTATTACAGTCTTGTAATGTGTATGAAGGTCTTACAGTCTTGTAATGTGTATGTAGGTCTTACAGTCTTGTAATTATGTGTATGTAGGTCTAACATTCTTGTAATGTGTATGTAGGTCTAACAGTCTTGTAATGTATATGAAGATCTTACAGTCTTGTAATGTATATGTAGGTCTTACAATCTTGTATTTATGTGTTTGTAAGTATTACAGTCTTGTAATGTGTATGTAAGTCTTACAGTCTTGTAATGTGTATGTAGGTATTACAGTCTTGTAATGTGTATGAAGGTCTTACAGTCTTGTAATGTGTATGTAGGTCTTACAGTCTTGTAATTATGTGTATGTAGGTCTAACATTCTTGTAATGTGTATGTAGGTCTAACAGTCTTGTAATGTGTATGTAGGTATTACAGTCCTGTAATGTGTATGTAGGTCTTACAGTCTTGTAATTATGTGTATGTAGGTCTAACAGTCTTGTAATGTGTATGTAGGTCCTACAGTCTTGTAATGTATATGTACATGTAGGTCTTACAGTGTTGTAATTATGTGTATGTAGGTATAACACTCTTGTAATGTGTATGTAGGTTGTACAATCTTGTAATGTGTATGTAGGTATTACAGTCCTGTAATGTGTATGTAGGTATTGCAATCTTGTAACGTGTATGTAGGTCTTACAGTCTTGTAATTATGTGTATGTAGGTCTTACAGTCTTGTAATGTGTATGTAGGTATTACAGTCCTGTAATGTGTATGTAGGTATTGCAATATTGTAATGTGTATGTAGGTCTTACAGTCTGTGTATGTGGGTTTTACAGTCTTGTAATGTGTATGTAGGTTTTACAGTCTTGTAATGTGTATGTAGGTCTTACAGTCGTGTAATGTGTATGTAGGTATTACAGTATTACAGTCTTGTAATGTGTATGTAGGTATTACAGTCTTGTAATGTGTATGTAGGTTATACAGTCTTGTCATGGTCCTAGGAACTGGGGGGGGGGGGGCATGGGGGACCAATATTTTTGCTGATATATAGAACACTAGAAAAAAAATATACTACTACTAGCTTGTGCCCCCTCCATAACAAGAGGCCCATGGGCCACATCGCTCACCTGAGTAACTTTTGGCCATGCTGTTCTTTACCAGATTTCCCCCCCTTTTTAATTCCCTATTGTGTATATACTACCGCCCTACCCCTGGGGGTCATGATTTGAACAATTTAGAATCTAGGGCTGGGACGATACAACTTTTTCTGTATCAATATGTATCACGATATTTGAGGCACGATACAATATGTATCACGATATGTTGAATTGGTTATGAAATCTTTTTTTTTTATTGAATTGAACAAAACATTTCTTCACAAAAAGAATAATTTATTAAAAAAAGTTGTATATCTGTTGTAAAACAAAATTATTTTACACAAGTAGTGTTAATTATTATGTATTTCATATTTATATTGACATTTAGCATATTTATTTCATATATTAAACCCAAAATTTTAAGTAAACAAAGAAAAACATAAGTCAGAAATTTTTTGGCGATATTTCTTCATGTGTATCGATATGCGTATCATCCTCACACAGAATCGATATTATCGATTTCTCGATATATCGTCCCAGCCCTATTAGAATCTACACTACCTCAGGATGCTTCCAAATAAGTTTCAGCATTATTGGTCCAGTGGTTCTTGAGAAGAAGATTTTTAAAGATTTTTCTTTTATATTTCAATGTAAAACTTGGGTTCCTTATTGTGTCCCGCCCTACCCCCGGGGGTCATGATTTGAACAATGGTTGCTTCCATATAAGTTTCAGCTTTTCTGGTCCAGTGGTTCTTGAGAAGAAGATTTTAAAAGATTTTCCCTATATATTTCAATGTAAAACTTGGATTCCCTATTGTGGCTCTGCCCTACCCCCAGGGGTCATGATTTTAACAATTTAGAATCTACACTACCCCAGGATGCTTCCGTATAAGTTTCAGTTTTTCTGGCCCAGTGGTTCTTGAGAAGAAGATTTTTAAAGATTTTTCTTATGTATTTCAATGTAAAACTTGGATTCCCTATTGTGGCCCCGCCCTACCCCTGGGGGTCATGATTTGAACAATTTAGAATCTACACTACCCCAGGATGCTTCCATGTAAGTTTCAGCTTTTCTGGCCCAGTGGTTCTTGAGAAGAAGATTTTTAAAGATTTTTCTTATGTATTTCAACGTAAAACTTGGATTCCCTATTGTGGCCCGCCCTACCCCTGGGGGTCATGATTTGAACAATTTAGAATCTACACTACCCCAGGATGCTTCCATGTAAGTTTCAGCTTTTCTGGCCGAGTGGTTCTTGAGAAGAAGATTTTTTAATAACCTCACCCTATTTTTGTCTTTTCTTGATTATCTCCCCTTGTAAGGGGACTTGGCCCTTTACTTAACAATTTACACTCCCCTTCACCCAAGGATACTTTGTACCAAGTTTGGTTAAAATTGGCCCAGTGGTTCTTGAGAAGAAGTTGAAAATGTGAAAAGTTTACAGACGGACGACGGACAACGGGTGATCAGAAAAGCTCACTTGAGCTTTCAGCTCAGGTGAGCTAAAACGTCTGATAACCTTTTTATTTTTTATGCTTGTCAAGTAATATTTGGCAGTTGATAGTGCCCCCTCCCCCCCCAAACTGAAAATGTATGGCTGTGCCCCCCCCCAAACTGAAATTGCCTCCTATGGGCCTGCTTGTAATGTGTATGTAGGTATAACAGTCTTGTAATGTGTATGTGAGTATTACAGTCTTGTAATGTGTATGTAGGTCTGGAAAAGTCGAATTCAACCATGAAATGGTATGCATGGTATGTGCTAATCCCGCACAGAGATTTTGATTGGCTAAAAATCTGTTTTTAAAATTACATCGGATAAACATCGTAATGTTTTCAGGGAAAATCAGACGTAAACAAGTTCTATTTACTCATGCAATATTTAAACACTGGAATTGAATTTTTAAACCCACTCATTTTTTAATTTTGTTCTCTGTGCGGGATTAGCACATACCATTTCATGGTTGAATTCGACTTTTCCACTCGACGAGCAGAGTTTTGACGCTGTTTATGGAGACTAAAGAAAATAAAGACAAGCATGCCATATATGGTTGTGTAGATAAATTTTCGTAGAAAACATAGGTATAGACAGTTTGTCAGTGTATTTCCTCTGAAAGTGTAAATGAGTGCGATTCTGGGGGAGGGGGGTACTCTGTGTAATTCGGAGTTAGATACCTTGTGTTATTATTATACTATGGGTTAAAAATTTATTACCGAAACAAGTGCCTGTGGTATGTAGGTCTAATACCATCAGACATGTCATGTACCAGATCTTGAGGTGACTGACAACAGATAAAAGGACTCATGATTTCAGTATACCTCTAAACACTTCATTGCTGAAGGCTTTATTTATTAAAGTTAATTTATTATATATATTAAATTCAAATGGCTGGACATACTTGTATACAGTAAAACATGGTTATAGCAAACAGGCTTTTTATGAATTCATGCCTACAGTTACAGTTGAGTGATTTTCATTCCCTTCATTTTTATAATGTATAATAAACTTATCAGACATAAGAAGTATCCTTTAATAACAATTCCAACTTGGTCGTCCCTACACTTGGCTATAAGTATGTTTTACTGTATCAATTTTCTCCTTTAAATACTTTAAAACTATCTGTAAGCAAACAAAATGCAAACCCTCAAATCTGTTTTATATATAATACATTTACATACACACTGCATTTACAGAAAAACAAGCATAAGGTTGAACATATTTCTAAATGTACTTCGATTCAACAGTGCACACAACACCCACACATTCATTACAAAGAGCAACATTTCCACCTACATTCAGGTTATGATCAATAACATTTCCACCTACATTCAGGTTATGATCAATAACATTTCTGCTTACATTCAGATTATGATCAATAACATTTCCACTAACATTCAGATTATGATCAATAACATTTCCACTTACATTCAGGTTATGATCAATAACATTTCTGCTAACATTCAGGATATGATCAATAACATTTCCACTTACATTCAGGTTATGATCAATAACATTTCCACTTACATTCAGGTTATGATCAATAACATCCACTTGCATTCAGGTTATGATCAATAACATTTCTGCTTACATTCAGATTATGATCAATAACATTTCCACTTACATTCAGGTTATGCTCAATAACATAACCACTTACATTCAGATTATGATCAATAACATTTCTGCTTACACTCAGGTTATAATCACTCAGACATGTACATTTCAGACTACAGTAAACAATTTGACATACCACTAAGTACATTAAAATTCTAACTATATGTTATAAATATAATATAACACGGCAAGAAAAAAAAGTTATTACAAAGATAATGTTGGAGAAGAATTTTATGTACCAGAAAATGTGCATTTAAACAAGAAATTTGAAGAATTATGGTTTGTGATACTAGTTTGGTTGTCTAAATAGTAAATACCTTATATTATGAAAAACAGAATTAAGTGAACTTATCTCTAACATATGTCGAAAATGAGTTTTTGCCTAACCTGATTAGGAATTCAAATTTGATTTTCCGTTAGATTTCTAGTTGTGCCTCTATGTTTTAAACATTAAGGTTTGAATGCAAATAAAAATAGAAGTTGCGTCTACCAATAATGTCATAAAATTATGTTTTCAGAAACATACACTTAACCCAAGAATATAAAACTGATTTTAAAAAAATCCGTAACATATTTACATATAGATATCACAACATAGAACAGAATTGTGGATAATATACTTATTATGGCTAAAAATAAAAACATATGTGGAATTCAGAATTGTTGCCAATTTAATCTAAATTCTATACGAAAGTGAAGATAACACAATGCATACACATTACAAACAAAAACTGAACAAAAATGGAGCTGCCAAAAGCTCTTTTTATCACAATTTTCTCTTCCATGCACACTCAACATTTTGAACAATACTGTTGAAAAACAAATAAATAAAAGCACTAAATCCCCTCCTTTCTTAAGAAATGTACACTTTATTAATCATTTTAAAAGGCAAATAATGAATTCAAATATTTGCAAAATCCAGATTTAAATTCATATAGGGTAGTACGACACAACATGAACTTGAACATAGTCTTAGATTTGCCATAAAACTTGGTATATATCACATTTAATAAAGTTATAAATTAAAAGTATTGTTTCACAGAGAGTGAATGAGAGTTGACACATAATGAAATTATTTGCTGCAAAATTTATAAAGATTTTTTTGTTTAAGATGACAATTAAAAATCGTTGTGTAAATAAGCAAGTTATTCAAATCTAAACAGTTCAGTCCTTGCTTATATCAAATCATTTGCTATAATGATACATGTGTATTTTAATACCAGTAATAATCTATTTACCTTCTTTATATACACTTTTATTCCTTATGCTGGTCAAGGAATATGCATGTACATATGGTAAAGTCAAGGATTATACAAAAGCACATAGCAACGAAAATAAAATTATACTAAAGTACATACATGTATACCATATTGATTATCTTAAAGTCACATATTTTCAAAGATGTCTAATTGTAAACACCAAATTAAAAACACCCATTGGAATGATATGATATTTTGACTGTATTTTGTAGATTGTCTTTTCTCCTTGTAAAACAATGGAAAGACACAGAGGGCATAACAGAACTGAGGATACGTATCTCACACATTGTAGCCTTTCCTTCTGTTTGTAAATCTCTCCTGGCCTTGACAATACTCGTTAATGATTAACTTAACCAGGAACAAATGGAAAATGATGACTAGGAATGCTACTGAGATCCAGAATATTAGGGGCAGACCTCCAAAATGGTGGCCATGTTTGTGTAAGGCTATCACATGGTGCTCATGTGGAGGAGCTGTAAGGAAAACAGATTTGTTTCATGTAGGTTAAAATTTTAAAACCAAAAGACACTTATATGCCAAAAATATTTCTTTTGTCAGCATGATTGAATGGTTTAACCTCTGTGCTCAGTCTCTATAGCAGTCTAATGCTGAAAGCTTAATCATGAATATTTTACCATGCATAAAATGTATGAATACAAAATGACAAGGGCAATTACTCTTATACAAGTTTCATCCTGATGTCTTCAGTCTTCAACTTATAAAATGAAGTTTGTTTCCTTCCATATGCCATTTTATTATGGATTAGCAGGTATGTTTTTATTTATTTGATTTTTTCAGATTAATTTTTTTTTTTAATGTTGTCATGTTCAGAAAAAACAATGATTTCTTTCCAAAAAGTAACCACAAAATTCATTTAATCCTATCATTAGAATGAATTTTGAGCATCCATATTATGTATTGTAGATCATCTATATCTTGCAACAGTCTTTTCTTCAAGCTAATGGCAATATATTATTCACAAAAATATTTTTGTTGAATAGAATTTTATTTTTACATTGACACATCCTTATACGATTAATAAAGTTCTCTATATAGGATAAAATGTTATTTAGGGTACCTTCTTTGATGGATTGTAGATGGAGGACATGTTTTAACTCCTCCATGTGTACTTTATCAGCTGTGATGTAAAGTATGGCTGTCAAAGGCTCCGTCAACTTTACAGGAAACTGCTGCACTTTCCTCCTGAAAATTTATGGGAACAAAAATCTGTTGTCTGAGATGCTTGTTGTATGTGTATTAACATGTACTGATAAGGAATTTTTTTTTTCTTGATAAAGTTTCAATGCTATACATTAAAAATAAAAGTGGAAAAAATCTAGATTTTATAAATATATGTGCTGCAAATGAATTATTTGTGCTTCATACTTCAATGAAACATAAGTTTATCTGATAGTGTACATTTAGTTTTAAATGTTTATGTAACCACAATATTTACTGCAATAAAAACGACTAAGAAAATCACCTTTTTAGTTTTTTAGTTTACATTATATTTAAAAGAAATTAAATCAAAATTAGGCACTTACGATAATTGCATAGGGGCGTCAATGCACCCTGCATCACAGGCATAATATGGTCGATCATTGCGATCCAAAGCAACGTAGATACTTGCTTTATTGTCATCCCCGACTATCACAGATATATTAAGATGTGTGTTATTGCCGTAATTGATTCGGTGGAAAAATAGGTCCCTGTGGAGATCCTTGGGTTCCATCTTAAACTCCAGGTGACTGTCGCCAAATCTAAGGGCCCCCATGCTCAAGAGCATTGCCTGAAGAACCCCTTCTGCACCTGTTTATATGTAATGGGTTGGATTATAAAACTTAAGTGGTCTTTCTAAGATCTCTAAGACCTCTCTGTAGCTGTTTAAGCATATTCAAGTGCAAAACCTAAAAATTCATTGTACAGTGACCCTAAGTTTTTTAAATGCAATCCTTTATCCTTTCCTTAGGGCTTAAGGATAGAATAAGCTTTAAATAATACATGTATGTAATTTTATTACATTAAAGCTTTGTGAGACATATCACTTATCTAAATCTTTTGACCTCGACCTATATACTGTAAATATGCATAAATAATAATTGTGCACTCAAATTTTAGCATGATCTTCCCCACCGATTACCTGGTAGCCTAATCATGAATTAGTACATCCATATTTATTTGTTTTAATCATATATCAGCATGTACTTGGATTGGAGGACGAGAAGTATGACAACTGCTAAATTAGTATAACTGATTGATTCCAAATCTATAAAGATCTTTATTTATTAACATCCTTTAAATTAAATATTCACCAGTTTTGGAAAAAAAAATTGAGTGTGAGTTATGGTTATGTTATATACACAAAAATGTTGATAAACATTGATCTTAATTAACATTTGATTTAAGTTTTTGTAAGATTGACCACAGAACTTATCACTGTTCTGTTTACCGTTCACTATTCTCAAACTGTGTGATAATTGTAAAGTCAGCTGATCCTAAAGTTCTAGCGTAAATACACAGGGTGTGGTGATCACTATAAGGCACCCACATTCTAATTCTAAATGTCTACAGAAAACAGGAAATGACAAACTCACCTGATCTGACCATGAAATCACAGCCCATCTTCTCCAGAGTTATCATCCAAGTTGTGGACACACGGGCAATGTCATCCTCATCTGTCACATCTGCCCACAGTGTGTTAGCAAGCCTACAACACAAAAAATAACTGCCAAATAGAGAACACATGCATTTTGAAACCAATATATACTTTAAGATTGAGTGTCATTTGAATAATGAAAGAGTGAAAGATTAAGAACATTTTGGTGGCATGAATTTTAACAAAAATATATTAAGCTACCTTATATCATCAGTATACTGTTGGCATGGTAGTGAGGCCCCAGCACGTTTTATAAAACAAGAGGCCCAAGGGCCTTGAATTGCTCTTCTGATAAACTTTACAACCTATCACTTCTATTTGAAGCCTCTAAATATCCTGATATTTAGATAAGCCCTAGAAATTCCAAAGGTAGGTCATCATGACCTACATTTTAGATGAAACACTCTGAGAACCCAAGATGATTCTAAGCCAATTAGTACCTGAGAGTTGGTCATGGTGACCTATTTATCACTTGTCATTCTCTGAGGACCCGTCAACTAAGTTTGATGACTCTAAGCCAATTAATATCTAAAATATTTTTTAAAATTAAAACCAAAAAATTTCAAAAGTAGGTCACCGTGACCTACTTTTTAGTTGTCATACTCCAAGGACCCAAGATGCATCGACTGACAAAGTTTGATGATTCTAAGCCAAAAAGTACCTGAAATATTTAAATAAAGCCATAAATTTTCAAAAGTAGGTCACGGTGACCTACTTTTCAGTTGTTGTACTCCGAGGACCCAAGATGCATCAACTGACAAAGTTTGATGATTCTAAGCCAATTAGTACCCAAAATATTTAATTAAGCCATAAATTTTCAAAAGTACGTCACGGTGACCTACTTTTCAGTCAACCTACTCCAAAGACCCAAGATGCATCAACTGACAAATTTTGATGATTCTTAGCCAATTAGTACCTGAAATATTTAATTATATTCATATAAATTGAAAAGTAGGTCATGGTGACCTACTTTTCAGTTGACGTTTTTTGAGGACCCAAGATGCATCAACTTACAAAGTTTTATGATCATAGGCCTTAAAATGTCCAAAAAACCACACACTGCACAAATGGCCATAGCATTAGCTCTTTGAGCCTTTGCCTCAGAAGAGCTGATAAACTATATGCAACTAAATTATCAATAACATACATGTGATACAGACCCAAATGCTGTACAGGAACCTTGAAAATACTGGAATTTAGGTGAAAATACTGTACACTACTCCAACAAAAAAACTACAAAATCTCAACGAAGACATTCAAAAGTATAAAATTTATTTCTTAATTCATATCAACATATTCATGTATAAACTAGTATGTATTATTACTTATTGCAAGCAATTTTTACAGCTTTTAGAATTTTACAACAATCCTGATTTTTTGTACAAAGACTGTCCATAGTACAGTACCATGCAAGAGTTTCTGTTTCCACTCAGTCTGCATTTTTCTCATGATACTCAAGCATCTCTCTGACTCTTGTGTTGGAATGGAAAATACTTACGGCCAAGCAGAGCAAATCAGTAATGATTTAATTTCAAGTCTTTGTTACACAGACTTGTTCTGATTTTTGTTGTTTTTTGACACAACTTCCTACTGACAAAATTCTAACAAGTTATAAATGACTTGAATCCCCCCCACCCCATTAAAAACAATTAAGGCTAAGAGAAGTTTTGGTATTCTTAGCAGCAATGTAATTATCACCTTCAATTGGGATATTTTATTTACATTACCAAGTCACATGTCAACATGGTGTCATGAGAGCAAAAATTAAAAAAATGACAGCTTCTGGTAAACAATTCAAAATACAGGACAAATTTTCATTTCCCATGAATTCTAGCTGAGTCCTGCCATGATTCCATGAATGGGGTCAAGAATGCATGACATTTTGTGTACAGCCAGTACAGATCACATGTATGCAGTGACTTACAGTGTAGAATGTCCATTGTAGCACCTGTCAGGGTAATGGAGAACCTGCTGGATTCTAGTCCTCTCTGTTGGAGTGACCCGTAAGTCATACAGTGGGGCTGGGACATTACTCAGTACATAATAAATAGTAGTGTTAATCTTATCAGCATTCAGGGCTCCCTGGGCCTTAGAATGGCTGATTCCAAATCCACTCTGCCACATCTGAAATATAAAACCTGTTATCATTATATTTGTACACAGGGCTTCTAAAGCATACATATACAATACATATAATTCCTCTTTTTTCTCTCTCTTTCTCATCTTTGTCCCTAAGATGAGCTACAATGTACTGTTAGCTCTCAAAGAAAACTATTTTTTATGTACAGATACATTGATACGTGTGTATTATATTTTTACCCATTCTGGATATACAGGTATTGTATGTATTTAATCTCACCTTATTCCATACTTTTACATGCTCACTTTGCAGGGCTGAGGCTCCAATATTCACAACATCTTTCAATTCCTTAAAGAAATAAAAAAAAGTCTATGTATTAATTTCTATTTCATTTTTATTGTTATGCATAACATGCATATTTTCTACTCCTAATCAAATTGTTAAATTGATAAATATTTTGTATTAAAATATACCAATTTTTCAGTCTAAAGCTTATTAAAATCAGTAACTTTTTTATCAATCAATCAATATATATATATATATATATATATATATATATATATATATATATATATATATATATATATATATATATATAAATATATATATAATTTCATTCTATGTAAATAGACCTTATTTACCTTCTCTACCCCTGATGACATCACAGATGTCAATTTCTCTGGTTTTGTCTCATATGGTTTTGTGTAGTTTACAACAGTCAATACTTGATACTGTCTGGTTCTGAAGACAAACAAAGCAATCTAATTAAGAAGGTTATTGTCTAATATTAAAGGCTAAAATGCCATTTGTACATAGATAAAAACAGGAAATTAAAATGGGAGGTATGTTTTTAATGCTTAATTTTTTCCCTTGCTCTTTAATACAGAAAAACAAATTTCATAAATTTGACACTCTGTAATATAAATTAATTGACAAATGGTTCAAACTGATTCGACTTTTTCTTGCTCTGCAGTCAGATTTTTTTTTAAAAGAAACTTTTTTTCAACTTGATTAAAATGCTTGAGTTTGTAAACAATACATGTACATAGGTGAAATTTCAATAGGCCTAAACTACATGTACAAGTACATGTCGAGTGATAACAGACCTATACAAATGTATTATAATTTACAATTTCACGGAAACAAACTGGTGGAGAAGGGGATGTTATGACTGGAGGAAACCTGAGGAGTAATACATTGAACTTACTCTCCTGCCTTGAGGGAGAACATATTTTTGGGTAGTCTGATAGATGCCACGACAGCATACACGTGGTATTTGTTATCTGGTAGATCTACCTCCCCCTCCGTCACCTCATACCTGATAGATTTACCTCCCACCGTCTCTCTACAACACACACAAAATATTCATCTTCAAGCAAGATTTTTCTTCACTAATAAAATAAAATTAAGTTATGGATGGATCAATACTTTGTTGGAGATGCTTATTTATTGTTGTTGTTTTTTTAACACAGATATCAAAATATATTTTATCACAATATTTACATGTCTTTGATCATTAAAATAGTATTAGAAACTATAACAGTTTTTTAGCAAACTGTATAATAATCGTAGTCCAATGAAAAGAAAAAATAATTAAAATCTACGTTTTAGGAAAAGTCTTGGAGTTTTTCCAATTAAATTGGCCAGCTGGATCAAATTCAAGGAACAATGGTCTTTTCTGAAGAAAAAAAGGCCACATATTCTACATACTTAAATGCAAAACATTTTACAATGTGTACTTTAACAAAATTCATGAACAAAATACACTAGACTAAGACAAATTAAGTGAGTAACTATAAGCAGGAATTATACCGTAATTCTTAAAGCTTGTACAGTATATTCATGTAAAGTAATACTTTGTACTCTAAACTATGACTTAATCTGATTTAAAATCAGTTTCCTCCTTGACTCTAATACATACAATGGAATTAATCTTGACATTTTGATTTTTGTATGTTTAATTCATTTATAGACATACACTAGGGTTGGAAATACGAATATCCTGGACTAAAACAGATGGTCGGGCTCTGTGGGCATATAATCGACTCTCCACATAGTTACACTTGCTCCTCCAACCTCCCTGTGTTAAAATTATACGCAGATAAAATCCAAAGCAACAAAATATTTCTGAAGAGAATATAAATAGGTATCAAGACATTTTGCCCAGTATTTGATGATTTTGTTACTAAGCCTTAAAAACATTAATTTTTAGGCTAATTTGTTTGAGCTTTTAATTTATTGCACTTTCAAGAATATTCATATCAATCTGTTTCATAAACTTACAGTTTGAACTGTCTGTAGTCTGTAAGCAATTCCATCTCTAATGTTTAATAATGTAGCCTCTGAAAATATCCAATATAAAATTAAAATTTGTCAAAAAGCATATTTCAGAATACAGTAGAACCAAATACATGTATGACAAATCACCAGGGAGCACCCAGGCCACAGTTGCTTCATTCATTCCAAAATTCATTATAACCAGTTAATTATTTATTTCTTACAGTGTAGTATTGTGTGATGATAACATCATAGTTCATTGTTCATTTTAAGCTTTTTTACTAAAAGAAGTTTTATGTCATCACATGTACATCTACATGTACAGTGTATATACAGTGTGTAAGATAATGCTCAGCTTTATCCAACTTCAGATAGACTTAAAACAATTTACCTATGCTATTAATTAAGAGGTAGACATATTAACCAAACCTCTAGCTTTGCTGTTGATGATTTTTGTAGACACCACTGGGTAATATTTTACAGGCAAGGAGAGTGCTCGATTAAGTCGGATAAACAGTCCATACTCGCTGTCTATTGAAGCTGCCAATTTCCCATTTCCTGCAAAACAGATAAAGACCATAAAATTGTCCCACACTTAATATAAATAGGCAGCCATCATTAAACTGATATATAACCTTACCAACATAAGGAGGAAATGTTTTATCTTGGTTTTCCTGATTCAGGAAAACATCATATCTGTTAATGGAGTCTGAAAACCTTTCCACTTTTTCTTGTAAACAAAATTCAAGATTATCTGGAAAAAAGAACAAGAGGCCCTAGGGCCTTAACGGTCACCTGAGTACAATACAACAATTTAGAGGATCCATAGAGTATTAAAATGAAAGGTGAAGCTTTGTTGCCCAAAAGCAAGAAAAATAGGGTGATCAGGATCAACAAAATAATTAGTCTAGTATTCATTAACAGTTCATAGATTAGGTTCTAATCTGTTACCCATTTATCACTATTACCCTAAGTATATTAACAAACTATCAGTGCTTCTATACTATTTTAATTCCTTGTTGTAATCTCTTACATTGGCCTCTCTTGGTCTTTGATGAACATTTAATAAGACAAGTTATTTTTGTCTCATTTTTATTTATCTATTACTTACAAGTCCACCTGATCATTAAAACTATGAAAATACTTTTTGTATTATACAATAAAAATTCTTGCATAGTTCTCTTATTCTATTAATCTTTCAAGTACATTATTTACAGTGATTAATTATCAAAAGTAAACAGCAAAGGGGAATAACTCCTCTCAGTAGAATGCAAATTGAGCCCTGGCTAGGACCAGAACACTTGACCAAATGGTCCAGATGTTCAAAAATCTGGTAAAAATACCCTTCCTTATTAAACTTTTACTCTTTTTGCCTCTGATATGCCCAAGTGCAGAGAAGATTTTTAAAGAAATAATGCATTTTTCCTACAGATTCACTATATTATCATTAGAGCCCCCCCCCCTTTCACCACCGAGAAACACCAGAGCCTCTCACCCTGGGACCAGAAGTTTGCTCTTCATAAGTAATCACTTTCTTTACATGTATCTGCTTAACATTAAGGAGCAGACAGGATTATTTAATAGAATTAATGCATTTTCACTATATTATCAACAGCCCCACCCTTACACCAGCACATCTGACCCAGGGGTCATGCAATTCACTACTCTGGAAGAAGCACTCTTGCTCATCATAACTATATACTTAGCTTCTCTGCTTTTTAACCAGAAGCAGAAAAGAATATTTTCAAAGAAATTTTGCTTTTTCACTATATAATCAATAGAGCCCTCCCCCTTTTTCACCAGAACCCTTGACCCTGGGGCCATGAAATTCACAATTTTAGAAGAGGCATCCTTGCGTATCATAACAATGTACTTAGTTTGTTTAAATAGTACCCAGGGGCAGAGAAGAAGATTTTCAAAGAAATAATTCACCTTCACTATAGAAGCTATATAGCCCCAACCTAGCACCAGAAGCCCTGTCCCTGGGGCCATAAAATTCACAATTTTGGAAGAAGCGTCCTTGCTTATCATAACAATGTACTTTGTTTGTTTAAATAATACCCAGAAGCAGAGAAGAAGATTTTTAAAGCATTAATGCATTTCACTATATAATAAATAGAGCCCAGTCCTAACATCAGAACCCCTGACCCAGGGGCCATGAAATTCACAATTTTGGTAGAGTCACTTTTGCTTATCATAATTATGTATTTCATTTGTTTAAATAATACCCAGGAGTAGAGAAGAAGATTTTGAAAGAAATAATGCACTTTCACTATATGATCTATATAGCCCCGTCCTAGCACCAGAACCCCTAATCCTGGAGCTATGAATTTCACAATTTTGGTAGAGTCACTCATGCTCATCATAACTATGTATTTAATTTGTTTAAATAATACCCAGGAGTAGAGAAGAAGATTTTCAAAGAAAAATGCACTTTCACTATATGATCAGTATAGCCCCACCCTCGCCCTAGCACCAGATCCCTTGACCCTGGGCTATGAATTTCACAATTTTGGTAGAGTCACTCTTGCTCATCATAACTATGTTTCTAATTTGTTTAAATAATACCCAGGAGTAGAGAAGATGATTTTCAAAGAAATAATGCACTTTCAGTATGTGATCTATATAGCCCCCCCCTCCCCCAGCACCAGAACCCCTGACCCTGGGGCTATGAATTTCACAATTTTTTTAGAGTCACTCATGCTCATCATAACTATGTATTTAATTTGTTTCAATAATACCCAGGAGTAGAGAAGAAGATTTTCAAAGAAATAATGCACTTTCACTATATGATCTATATATAGCCCCCCCCCCCCCAGCACCAGAACCCCTGACCCTGGGGCCATGAATTTCACAATTTTGGTAGAGTCACTCTTGTTTATCATAACTATGTATCTAATTTGTTTAAATAATACCCAGGAGTAGAGAAGAAGATTTTCGAAGAAATAATGCACTTTCACTATATGATCTATATAGCCCCACCCTAGCACCAGAACCCCTGACCCTCGGGCTATGAATTTCACAATTTTGGTAGAGTCACTCATGCTCATCATAACTATGTATTCAATTTGTTTCAATAATACCCAGGAGTAGAGAAGAAGATTTTCAAAGAAATAATGTACTTCCACTATATGATCTATATATAGCCCCCCCCCCCAGCACAAGAACCCCTGACCCTGGGGCTATGAATTTCACAATTTTGGTAGAGTCACTCTTGCTTATCATAACTATGTATCTAATTTGTTTAAATAATACCCAGGAGTAGAGAAGAAGATTTTGAAAGAAATAATGCACTTTCACTATATGATCTATATAGCCCCGTCCTAGCACCAGAACCCCTGACCCTGGGGCTATGAATTTCACAATTTTGGTAGAGTCACTCATGCTCATCATAACTATGTATTTAATTTGTTTCAATAATACCCAGGAGTAGAGAAGAAGATTTTCAAAGAAATAATGCACTTTCACTATATGATCTATATATAGCCCCCCCCCCCCCCCCCGAACCCCTGACCCTGGGGCTATGAATTTCACAATTTTGGTAGAGTCACTCATGCTCATCATAACTATGTATTTAATTTGTTTCAATAATACCCAGGAGTAGAGAAGAAGATTTTCAAAGAAATAATGCACTTACACTATATGATCTATATATAGCCCCCCCCCCCCAGCACCAGAACCCCTGACCCTGGGGATATGAATTTCACAATTTTGGTAGAGTCACTCTTGCTTATCATAACTATGTATTCAATTTGTTTCAGTAATACCCAGGAGTAGAGAAGAAGATTTTCAAAGAAATAATGCACTTTCACTATATGATCTATATAGCCCCGCCCTAGCACCAGAACCCCTGACCCTGGGGCCATGAATTTCACAAATTTGGTAGAGGGCTCAATGCTTATTACAATCATGTCAACAGTTTGACTGCTTGATGTCCAGGAGTAAAGAAGATCTTTAAAGATTGCATTAATTTTGGTGGTTTTAGCAACCCATCAGGCCCCAGGGGGGCAGAAACCATGAAATTCACAAATTTTGTTCCCCTTCACATATAGATGCTATATGCAAAAATTGGCTGAAATTGGTTCAGCGGTTTCAGAGAAGAAGCTGAAAATGTTCAAATGTTAACACACAACGCACGACGACGGACGAAAACAGATAGCAATAGGTCACCTGAGTGACTCAGGTGACCTAAAAATGCAGTATGTTACATGGTACAGTCAAACCCTGTTATCTCAAACTAGATGGGGGCCAAGAAAAAAACTTCGATGATTCAATATATTGGGGTAAAATACATAAAAGAATTTCCAACTCACTTTGACATACCCATGGTATTAGAGATACTGAAGTTCATGAAACTGAAGTTGATGCATTTATTTCAAAATTTACTTTAAAATTTTTAATAAGCAAACCTGGTACTATTGTAGGTTTCTCTGTAGTTCTTGAACTCAAAATGTAGTATAGGAAAACACATACAACAAGTAAAGCTAGGATGACTTTCCTGGACCTAAAATAAAGAACAATCATACTAATGAATTCAAAGTATTTACACAAACCACTAACTGCTTTTTCAATTACCAAAAAATTAAACAAGTTACGTTAAAATGTTTATTTGAATTGTTAGGATTAAATAAGTCAACTTTCCTGCAGTATTCAAACACAAGATCAACTGATTCAGAACTGTTGCTCATTCCAATAAAATTTAATCTGTAGAAATGTACCTCAACAGTCCAATTAATCTATACATCTACAGTCCAGAGAAATTAAATCTGTTGAACTCTATCTCAACAATCCAATTAATTTATCCTGCAACTACCCCTTGCATTGACCTAATAAAGGTAACCTAATAAACCAAAGCTTTATTCGGTCAATGCCCTAATAAAGCCTCGTGGATGTATTCTGACGTTCTAAAAGCATTGTGACGTCATGAATATTGCAATGTTTACGCCATGGCATCTAAGATTCAACTGCAGAGATGTACCTAAATCGATTGAAAATAGCTCGTTCTGAAGGTCATGTAAAAAAATGTTGCAGGATAAACAAAATACATCGATACTGTCTTGAAATATAAGCGATATTTGGGCTCGGGTCGAAAACGTGATAGAGGGCTCGGCAAGCCTCGCCCTCTATCATGTTTTCTTACCCTCGCCCAAATATCGCTTATATTTCAAGACAGTAACCATGTATTTTATATTTATACATCCACTGTCCAGAGAAATAAAATTTATAGAACTGTACCACATTAGTTCAATTAAATTATACCTGTACAGTCCAGAGAAATAAAATCTGCACAACTGTATTACAACAGTCCAATTAAATTAAACCTTTACAGTCCAGAGAAATTAACACTGCAAAACCTTACCTAAATAGTCTAATTAAAAAAAAAGGCCCATGGGCCACATAACTCACCCGAGCACTATGGCTAGGAAAAAGCAGAAATCAGTATTTTAAAGTTATAATATAAAGGGGGAGGGCATGAATTCAACGCTCTTGAATCTACACTACCTTAGGATGTTTCTGAATTAATATGACTGAAGAAGGCTTTGTTGTTGTTGAAAAGAGGGTTTTTAATGATTTTCCCTATATATATATATATATATATATATATATATATATATATATATATATATATATATATATATATATATATATAATTTTGATAAACCATTGTGGCATCTCCCTACTCCCTGGAGTCATGATTTGAACAAATCTACACTACCTGAGGATGCTGCCATATAAATATATCTATACTATACATGGCTTTGATGTTCTTGAGATAAAGATTATAAAAGATTTTACCTATATATTCCTATGTAAAACTTTGATTACTCAATATGGCCTCTCGATCCCTATCCCAGGGGGTCATGATTTGAACATGAAAACTTGAATCTACATAACCTGAGGATGTTTTCATATAAATATGACCAATCGTGGCTTTGCTGTTCTAGAGAAGAATATATTTAAAGATTTTTCCTATGTATTCCTTTGTAAAACTTTTATCGCCCATTGTAGTCCCTCCCTACCCCTAGGGGTCATGATTTGAACAAACTTCATTCTACAATACCTGAGGATGCTACCATATTATAAATATGACCAATCGTGGCTTTGTTGTTCTTGAGAAGGTGTTTAAAGATTTTCCTTATGTATTCCTAGAAGAAAATTTTTAAAGATTGTTCTTAGGCCATCCTTAAAAAAATGTTTGTTTGGAATTGCTGCCTGGGAGGTTTCAGACCTGGGAGGGGGGGGGGGTATTTTTTTTCTCTCAAAATTGAAGTTAAATTAAAAATTGTTTATAAAAATTTCAATAGGCAATGAACACATCATTTTCTGCCTTTTTGTTAAGGGTATCTCCCATCAACCATGAACCCAGTATTGCTGAAATCCAACACTTATTAAGTGATTGGGTGGCACATGTGACAACGGACCAGTAATAAAAAAAATCTTCTTATTTTTGGTCAATAATTTTTTTCAGGAGTGGTCATTTCAATGAGGCGAGAGGCAATTCCAAACAAACAATAATAATTTTATTTTGTCTTTATGGTGCTGAACGAGAAAATTAGAGTAAATTCGGGTTACATGTAGTTTACCTGTTTAAGGAATTTAGCTTCGTAAACAAGCTTTGAGCTTGAACTTTCCACCACATCTGTCGACAGTTAAAAAAACAAGGAATTTTAAAACTAAATAATTTTCTCAAAAGAATCAATCCATGATGCATAATCTGAATGTTTGTCAAGTCGCCACATCAATGTTTCCATATCCTCAAGCAGCCACATTTCACAGTTGCATCCCTTTATACGGTAACGGATGCGTTTCGCTCAATTACTGTTTCGCACTGACATGGTTCGCGCTACAAAATTATGCTCCATATATAAATGTCAAATATAATTGAGGATTTGTTTGTTGTTTGCAACCATATGCCTATGAATTAAAGATAAAGGGGTTCAACAAACTCGTTTGAAGCCGGCATTTCGTAAATTTTATGGCCTTTATATAAAATGACCTTGTTAGCAATTATATAACCTATCACTGAGGGTATTTTGAATGACTTGGTCCATACCAATTGTTAGGCCTTTGTTCTTCAAATTTGTACTGAATTTGACTACGAAATGTTCCGTCTGCCTGATCAATACAAAGGGCTCACGACGGGTGTGACTGATCAACAGGGCCGGTATGCTTACTCCTCCAAGGTTAGCACCTGATCCCCTGGAATTTCCAGGATTCCGTGTTTTTTGCCCTCTTCACAGATCTGTATTGTTTGTGGGTTTATGCCCTCTTCACAGATCTGTATTGTTTGTGGGTTTATGCCCTCTTCACAGATCTGTATTGTTTGTGGATTTTTTGAGATCGACCACTCTTCGTTATCTTCACCTTTTTAATTAAATAAACTTTTTTTAAAAGGTAGATTTCACGTATTAAAAAAAAAGACATATGCCTACGTATATCTTTTTCCATCTGAAAAGACAATTTTTATTCTATTTAAAATTGCCGATCAATGATATAACGTTTTTTGGACATTCTTGAGAAAATTCTACAGGCAAGTAGTACTGAAAAGGGGGGGGGGCTTTTTTAGAACACTATTTTGCTATAAAAGTATAAAAAATATTGACAACGAGGTTGTTTGCCTTCCCCACCCCATCTCCTACCCCCCACCCCCGGAGTATAGTCGAACTCTTCTATATGAGACTGAGTATCCGTTTTTCCTAAGATACTGACAATTACTACTACCGTTATTGCACTTCCGTCCCAGCTAGTGCACATCAACAAAATTTACCCTAGATGCGGTTGATTTAATCGAAATATTTACAAATCGGGGGCACATAAAATTTAAATGGAAATATGAGAAGGAAGAAGAATGTGTAACAAATTTATTGATGTATGCATATTCCATGTTTTCTTATGCTTTAGATAAATAATCAGGCGAAGTTTAAGCGAGGTGAGGCAGACGACGAGAAAAGAGTTGCAAGCCTTCTCTCTTTATGTATCAGTCGAAAACGGTATATTTAAAAACAGCATATAGAGACAAAAGAGTTATATTATTGATGATATATAGTGCATATTAGAATATAAAAATAGGGAAAAGGTGACTCGACCCCAGATTTAAAAAGAAAAAAAAATTGAGAAGGGGGGGGTCCATACCCCAAGTGCCTGTGATTAAATATGAGATAATCGATAATGTGCACTACTGATAAATCACGTTATGGCATAATGCTTTGTTTGTATAATGCTACTGGATTTTATTCGATACTCTATTTGAATTCAACAAGTACTTTGTAGCTGAAACTTTTCACTTTGTTACTTACTCCATTTATAATAAATTCCATTCAATATCTTTAAAAAAAGAAGAAATATATAATACATACATGTAATTCACTTTTATTATTTTACTCTGTAAAATATAAATTGAAGAAAATTGTTTATTTCAATAACTTTTTGTCCATTCAGTTGAATCTGGTCCATTTGACAGTGTTTTACTTCATATAGGTCCATTTGGGTAAATAGACGCAACCTGTATTCCCCTTGTCGCGTAGCTGCAGTGTGTTCACAGTGTAGTGCAACATCTTGTGCTGCTTTAACGTATTTCTGTGAGTATAATTAATTTTTTTGCATTACTTATGCGGAAACCGCCAATAAAAATATGCGGAAATTTCATAAATGTCGGTTCTGTTCACATTTAAATACATTCACCCCCTGGTAACTGTTCTCAATAACTTAATATCCCATTGTCGCAAACCACGGCCAAAATGTACGATCCTCTCCCATTCTGGTAGGAGAGAGCTATATGCGGACTCCGGACCGTGGCTTGAGACGATGCTAATATCCTGGCACAATATCTTATGTGCCATAAGGTCCCTTTGTACGAAAGCCTAGAAGGGTCAAAAATGGAAAGTGAAAAAAAAAATTAACACCAAAAAGGTCGTAATAACGAGATAAAAAGTCGTACGAGATAAAAAGTCGTACAAGATAAAAAAAAAAAATCGCAATAACGAGATACAATGTCGTAATTACGACTTAAGAAAGTCGTAATGAGATAAAAGTCTTTATTACGAGATAAAAAGTCGTAATTACGATTTCATTAAGTTGTAATAATGACTTTTTATTTCGTTATTGATATCAACTTTTTATCTCTTAGAACGACTTTTTATCTAGTTATTAAGTCGGAATAACGACTTTTTACTTGTAATGACAACTTTTTATCTCGTTAGTACAACTCAAGTAAGTCGTAATAACGACTTCATAATCGCCACTTTTTATCTTTTATAATGGCTTTCTTTTGTCGTAATAATGACTTTTTATCTCGAAGTTATTTCAACTTTCTCAGTCTTCGCCAAATCTTTTTTTCAATACATGCCCTTCGGGCAGGTTTAACCACTTATTACACTAGCCCAAACAAATATTTACATGCCCAGAATTTTATCAAGTAACTTTATTCTTACTTGCCTTTTCATGCCAAGGAAATGATCTGAAATCCATTTCTATCGATCTATTGTCTCACCATTAATATTGTTTTCAACCTGTACACTTTTTGTGTCTCCTTTGCAAAAGAGTTCCTTGGAAGTCACGTATTGTTTTCAACGTGTATACTTTTTGTGTCTCCTTTGCAAAAGAGTTCCTTGGAAATCGCGGTAGAATAAACTGTTGTTAAAATTTTATTTCGTGCTCCACTTTAGATAAAAAATCAGACTTCTAAGTACATTTAATGTTATTGGTATTATTTAATTTGATAATACGGAGGCTTAGGCCTCAGAATTTACATGCCCTTCGGGCTTGTAAGTATGCAATTTCCACATTCCCGCTCTCAATTTTACCAGGTCCCGGGCTTCGGACTCCCAGGATTTGCCGAAGACTGCTTTCTAAAGTCATAATAACAACTATAAGTTGTAATAACAACTTTTTATATCTGATTCAATAATAGTTTATTACGACTTTCTAAAGTCGTAATAACGACTTTCTTAAGTCATAATAACGACTTTTTATCTCGTTATTTTGACTTTCTTAAGTTGAAATTACGACTTTTTATCTCAATATTGTGACTTTATCTTGTTATTTGCGACTTTTTAATTCTTTTTTTTCATTTTTCTAATTTAACCCTTCTTGGCTATTGTACCTTCACCATATTGTGATGCTAGAGAAGATTTTCAATTTTTTTTTAATCTTTGAAATGATTATATAAAATTGTATTCTCTGTTGATAAGTTGACAGCTTGTTAACCAAGTAGTTCACTACTGCACTATCATTGACTTTGAAGCTGCAATAATGCAATGATTTTGTGATAGTGCCAGGATGTTGATAAGATGACGCAATGACAATGGTGTGATAACATGATTAAGCAATAGCAAGCATCACTTCATCGTCATTTTATCACCCTTTTCTTCATCATTGCGTCATTTTGTTATCTTCATCGTACCATTGCATCATAGAGCTACAGTGATTCATTTTGATCTGCGTCCTGCATAAATTGCGCACAAATTTTGCTAAGGACGCATTGTTTCAACAAATGTGCATCCCAATGGACGCAATAAATTCATAGAAGGACATTTATTATTTTAAATTGTTTCGATATAATGACCAATTGCATCATATCCACGTGCTAAGTGATATGCATGAGCGATTTTACCAGGTATCAGTTTGCCAACAACAGGTCAGATTTCACAATTCACTGTTAAATTACAATAAACAAGCAATTATCAGAAAATAATTTAAAGTTAGATAGCATAGTTCGATTATGTCTTCTGTGGAACATTTCTAAGCGTATACTATACCTTTGTATTTAACGAGGCCTAGTCTAATTTGAGTACGCATGACTTTACGCAGCTTTTTAGTTTCATGCAGTCGTAGATGCAACGTAACAGCTTTCCTAAGTATTGTAATTTTAATACAAAATTAACATTATATTACATTATCTGTAATGTTTATGAGTCATACAATGTGCTTTTAAGACAATAATTAGGAACAAACGCTGAAATGGCTTTCACAACATCACTGTTTTCCAGTCCTGTAAGCAATGCATGACGCTGAAGAATAACGCATGACTCGCTTGAGTATTCAAAATGTCTATGGACATTTTAATAAGAACTGTTGACTGCATCAAAAGAAACATACCAGCAATGTATCTAACATTGTTTTTTAGCTCACCTGAGCTGAAGGCTCAAGTGAGCTTTTCTGATCACATTTTGTCTGTAGTCCGTCTGTCTGTCTGTCTGTCTGTCTGTCCGTCCGTCCGTCCGTCCGTCTGTAAACTTTTCACATTTTCGACTTCTTCTCAAGAACCACTGGGCCAATTTCAACCAAACTTGCCACAAAGTATCCTTGGGTGAAGGGGATTCAAGTTTGTTCAAATGAAGGGCCACGCCCTCTTTCAAGGGGAGATAATGAAGAATTAGTGAAAAATTAGTAGCATCTTTTAAAAATCTTCTTCTCAAGAACCACAAAGCCAGGGCAGATGAAACTCATGTGGAAGCATCCTCAGGTAGTGTAGATTCAAGTTTGTTCAAATCATGACCCCCGGGGGTAGGGCGGGGCCACAGTAGAGGATCAAAGTTTTACATAGAAATATATAGGAAAAACCTTTAAAAATCTTCTTCTCAAGAACAGCAAAGCCATGATGAGTCATATTTATATGGAAGTATCCTCAGGTAGTGTAGATTCAAGTTTGTTAAAATGATGACCCCAGGGGTTAGGGCAGGGCCACAATGGAGGATCAAAGTTTTACATAGAAATATATAGGAAAAACCTTTAAAAAATCTTCTTCTCAATAACAGCAAAGCCCTAATTGGTCATATTTATATGGCAGCATCCTCAGGTAGTGTAGATTCAAATTTGTCAAAATCATGACCCCTGAGGGTAGGGCGGGGCCACAATGGATGATCAAAGTTTTATATAGAAATTAGGGATGTGAAAATATTTATTTTCTTTAGTCGAATATTCCATTGCATTATTCGAACGATAGTCGAATATATTCGAAACTTTTTCGGAAACTAAATTTTTATTTCAAACTTCAATGGTACATGACATATTTAACCCCAAATCCCCTTTTCTTAAATTTATTAAAAAGTTACATCAAATGTTACACACAGATTTTCACATGGACCTAAAATGTGGATAGCGTGTTTATATTTACTAAATATAGACCGCTAATTCACCAAAATGTATGATTTCCCCATCAATCATGTTCATAAATCGGTCTGTAAAGTCGTTTTTTTTAGGAAGCATAAAAAATGACAGTACGATATATTTTTTTAAAAGCTTATTAAAACGAGGGGGCACACACGGTGTCTGTGATAATGTTAAACATTTGAATATACTTTTTGTACCAACCATCAAATGCCTTTAAAATATGTAAAAGAATATTAATTTTATAATAATTACCATAGTGTCCAAACATTTCACGGCTATAATGGGTACATGGTATGAGATCAAGTCCAATTAATAATTTTACAAAGAAAGCGCAGTAAAGCGAGATAATTTTATTACAAAAACAACATATCAATTGACAAATAATTCTCGCGGAAGGGAAGCATTTCTAATTACTGTACTCTCTACATGTAAAGGCAGTTTTTAATGAGGAAAATTATCTTATCGTCTGTGTCTGAGGAAAGACAGTTTCTCAATTTTAGGATGAGAATTCCATCTCTTTATCACTCTTTTATTGAATTTATTTATTCGAATGTCGTTTCGTTATTCGATCGTCGGTCCATTCGACTGATAGTCGAATAGTCGATTATTCGTTGACATCCCTAATAGAAATGTATAGGAAAAATCTTCTTCTCAATAACGGCAAAGCCCTAATTGGTCATATTTATATGAAAGCATCCTCAGGTAGTGTAGATTCAAGTTTGTTCAAATCATGACCCCCCAGGGGTAGGGCGGGGCCACAATGGAGGATCAAAGTTTTACATAGAAATATATAGGAAAAATCTTTAAAAATCTTTTTCTCAGGAACAGCAAAGCCCTGATTGATCATATTTATGTGGAAGTATCCTCAGGTAGTGTAAATTCAAGTTTGTTCAAATCATGACCCATGGGGGTAGGGCGGGGCCACAGTGGAGGATCAAAGTTTTACATAGAAATATATAGGAAAAACCTTTAAAAATCTTCTTCTCAAGAACAGCAAAGCCATGATGAGTCATATTTACATGGAAGCATCCTCAGGTAGTGTAGATTCAAGTTTGTTCAAATCATGACCCCCCAGGGGTAGGGCGGGGCCACAATGGAGGATCAAAGTTTTACATAGAAATATATAGGAAAAATCTTTAAAAATCTTCTTCTCAATAACAGCAAAGCCATGATGAGTCATATTTATATGGAAGCATCCTCAGGTAGTGTAGATTCAAGTTTGTTCAAATCATGACCCCCGGGGGAAGGGCGGGGCCACAATGGAGGATCAAAGTTTTACATAGAAATATATAGGAAAAATCTTTAAAAATCTTCTTCTCAATAACAGCAAAGCCCTAATTGGTCATATTTATAAGAAAGCATCCTCAGGTAGTGTAGATTCAAGTTTGTTCAAATCATGACCCCCCGGGGGCAGGGTGAGGCCACAATGGAGGATCAAAGTTTTACATAGAAATATATAGGAAGATATGTTCTGATGAAGAACTGCAAAGCCATGATTAGTCATTTTGATATGGAAGCATCCTCAGGTAGTGTAGATTCAAGTTTGTTAAAATGATGACCCCAGGGGATAGGGATGGGCCATAATGGGGGATCAAAAATTTTACATAGGAACATATAGGAAAATATCTTCTTCTCAAGAACTGAAAATCATGTTTAGTCATTTTGATATGGAAGCATCCTCAGGTAGTGTAAATTCAATTTTGTTCAAATGATGACCCCCGAGGGTAGGGTGGGGCCCAATAAGGGGATCGAAAGTTTTACATAGGAACATATAGAAAAAAATTTCTTCTCAAGAACAGAAAAGCTATGTTTAGTCATATTGATATGGAAGCATCCTCAGGTAGTGTAGATTCAAGTTTGTTCAAATGATGACCCCTGGGATAGGGAGGAGCCACAATGGGGGATAAAATTTTTACAGAGGAATATATGGGAATTTTTGAAAAAATCTTCTCAAGTACAACAAAGCCATTTGTTAAAACAAATTAAACAAATTATATATTGACATAGAAGCATCATCAGGTAGTTTAAAATTCAAGCCCCCCCCCCCCCCGTAATCTTTTCAGTACTGAACTGATTTGTGCTTTTGCCTTGCCAATGTGCTCAGGTGAGCGATGTGGCCCATGGGCCTCTTGTTTTACCACAATAATTCATTTGCTCTGATACATGTGATATATACAAAAAGTATACCGCAATATGGCAAATTTAGAGGTATTGGGTATTTGGGAAAAACTTTGTAATAACTCCTAAACCAACCCAGATGGTCAACTTTTTTGAAATATCACAGTTTGATGACTTTTTCTAATAACTTTCATGTATTTGATTGAAAAGGAAATCCCTAGAGCAGAAAAACATGGGGAAAATGTGATAATTTGGCGCTTTTCCAACAAATACCTATAGGGTCAATAGTAAATTTGACAACTTTTGAGATCCCCCCCCCCCCTAAGAAATCGGGATGGTAAACATTCCATTATTTTATCCTAAAATAATTATAATAGTAAAAATTCATGCAAGAAAATCTATCAAAATCTCTAGGGTAGAAATAATTAGACTTGGCTTCGTTAAGCTGTATATTGTGTATTATAATTTTTTTCTTTAGCATGTTTAGAAGCTAAGACGTATAAATTTTGATAATTTTTCTTTCTGACTATATTTCATTTTTTAAAAAAACTTAAACTTACTTTACTTCATTTAATAGAATCTGTGCTTTTTATGACAAGATCGTATTTACGATCTAAAAATAGAAACAAAGTGCACAGTTGACAATATATTATTTTTATGCCACAAAATCATGTATTCTTACTTCCAATTCAATAGTAAAAGTATAGACCATTCACAGCTACAATAAAACATTTGCACTTTCGTGCAGTAGTCAATACCCTTTTATATTTCACCAGAATTTCCTCTGTAGTAGCTAATATGCGGTACCTTCGGATTTGGGCATATTGATTTTGGCATGGGACTCATTGTTGTCATTAAGAGGGGTCCTTTGGACCCATGATAACCATTTTCAAAATGAATCACTGGAGCTAGTAAATGCTCCATAGTGCCATTGCAGTCGTCTAGTGCCATATTGTCATCTCTCCATTGAATCAACCCAAATCTCGATAGAGCAATAGTAGCTCTGTGACCCAATCAGGATTCCAGAGTTATTCCTTATAGAATCCGAATATATAGCCATGTAGTTCACCAGTTCTCCATCATGGTTTAGTTTGATTGCACAATATGATGCTATGATGGTGCAATAGCATGATGAAGTGATAGCATGATGGTGCAGTTGTGCAATAGCACAATGGAACTAAAGGACAAGAAGGCAATAAAACCATGAGTGTTGAAATGATGCTTGCTATCCCTTTATTGTGCTATCGCACCCTCTTCATAGCACCATTGTGTGTCATCACACAGTTATGTCATCACCACAGCACCTACATGTTCAATAGTGAACTATGTGGCCCTTCCCAGATTCCATAATTTCTAAATATTGTCAAACCTGTCATAGCAGCCCTCGGTATTTATCAACTTCCTCTCATCAGGACCCATTGAAGGGTATAATCATTATCATATTCCTGTAGCAATTCTAAATTCTAGGGCCCAGGAGTAAAGAAAATAAGGTACAATTTAAATATTGAAATTCAATACATGACCAAGTTAGCCCCTATCCTGGGTTATGTCGAGTGATAAAGGGTTAACCAAAACTCCTAAGCAACTCAGTGCTGAAGAGGAGGGCTAGATTGAAACAGTACTGCATCTGTGGTAGAACAAATCTTAAGGGGCCAATGGTTCAGTAACTGGTTTTACCCAGGGTGTGTGGGAATATCTCTGGTCTGTGGTTAGTCCATACCCTACTTCCCTATATATTTACCTGGAGTGCTCAGTGCAGTCAAGTTGGATGTAGTGATAGCTTGTGTAGGTTTGGGCAACAATGGGGAGCATGTGCAAATATTGGATAAAGAGTTCATTTTTGTTAAAATGAAGAAATAAAATTTGCACTTGAATTGTCTCTATTTGCATATATTTAATGTTTTCCTGTGTTTTGTAGGCCAACAGCTATGGATAGCCCTAATCGTATCTTTGAACTCGAGGACTTTGAAGAAAATGATGATATTCTCCAGAAGCCTGTAGTGGAGGAGAGGCTGCCCAAAGCAGATCGAGGCAGAGTACAGGGGCAAGGAAGAGGACTGTTGAACTATATAACGGGAGATAAAAGAATACCTTCTGTCGGGAGAGATAGGTCGAGTCTGCTGAGCAAGGTAGAGGAACTTCACTGTCATGAAGAGTTATATGGATTAGGAAGCAAGTCGAGGGACTCAGGACTGATGAATTCCAGTACACCAAAACCAAGTGGTATTAATAGCAGGGACCTCTCAGCCAATGACAGGATGCACCTTGTTCCAGTAGGAGCAGAAGACTGTATGTTGGATAGGAACCAGTTGGTTGTGAACCAATCTCAAGGATACTCCAAGTGTGCCGTTCGAACCTGCAGTGCCAAGTTTTCAGGTGCCACTCCCATGTTTACTCACATATGGGAATTTCATGCCAAAGGGATAGATGATATCCCAGTTTTTCTGAATTTTTTAATGGAGTTGGCCGAAACTTTGTGGTTGACACCACAAAGTGTTAACCAAGATGCCACTTTAGAGCAACTCCGCCTTTGGGTAGAGCAGAGAATGGGGAAAGTGGAATGGAGTTTTTCAGTCCAGATCCGAGAGGTCATGTATCGCCTCTCGATGCACTTAGGGGTGAATCCTCCATTGGAGACTCAGCTAAGACAAGTAAGAATGGGATGGTCACCGCATGTGGCTATGCTAGCCCATCCACTGGTCATGGCAATCCTGATTAATGGGGCTAAATTTATGGGAGACTGGTATGAGTTGGATCAATCTCAATCTAACTTCAGAGAGTGTTGGGAGTCTGAGTTGCCAGAGCACATTGTTGGAGAATGGCCTAACTCTCAGGTGCTGGTGGTTCAAGACAGTATGCCAAATTCCCTGAAAGAACTGGAACCTGCCTTGAAGAAACCTGTCTTTAATGCGTCTACTCTGCCAAGTTTACCAGTGTCTAATGTAAAGTGTGTTAGCAGAAGTGATCTCCATTCTTGGTCGAGGGACACTGGTTTACCATTGTTGCAGGTAGTTGATTGCCTGTGGCATCCTGGAAGGATGCCAAGTATCTGGGGAAGGGATGTTAACAAGTTTTTGAGCGACGATAAATGCCCAATTGAAGAACCGGTAGGTATTATTGGCGGCTGTGTAGGTTATGGTTTCCACGAAGAGCCATTACCAGATATCAGTAATTACTGGGTAGTAGCAAAGGGGATACGCCCAGGAGAGGTAGACTTTGCACTCCCCAGGGATGTAGCAAATGTGGTTGCGACCTGCCGGGATAAGAACTGGGTGGTTGGAGACATAGGGTTGGATTACTCAGAAGTCACGAGCCAATGTCAGCAGAGGTTCGTGTTGGCGGAATTCTTCCGCAGAGCTGATTTTAACGCAGGAATGGTGTTATTGTTGAAGGGCTCGCCAGATGACCCTTTGGGTCTTGTACCCACTCAAGATTGTCTTACGCTTCTGGATGGATTATTTGTACCGACCCTGGTGCCAGTATACTTGCATAACTTTACCGGAGGACCGGAGCAGGTGAGAATTTGGACGAAGTCTGGCCGACCTGTATTCTTCGGGGTGAGTGGACACGTCACAGAAATGTCAGCTGTACAGATAGCAGGGGTACAGGAGATTCCAGGTGACCGATTGTTAGTGGAATCAAATAGTCCCAACCGACAGTGTGGAGTTGAATTTCCGATGAGTCCACAACTTATCGGGAAAGTTTATCAGAAGATTGCAGAGATTCGCAATGAAAATGTGGCCCAGCTTGCTGGAAGAGTTTATCAGAATTTCCGGATGTTCTTTGAACCACAGCTGAGAGGAAACCTATGAACTGGAGGTGTGTCTGCCCTCCAGCAAAGGGACTGTATCGGACTGTCCTAACCCTCGAGATACCGAAATAGAGCAACTCTGATCAGTGACTCTGTGAATTGTTATATTAACTTTGTAATAATATTATGAACATTTTAAATGAGCATTTTATTAAAAATACATCTTAATATTTTAACGTGGTTTAAAGTTCACTATATTTTTTTTGGTGTATTTTCATAGTTTATTCCTTTGGAAATGGGTTGCCCTTTTCAAGATCATAGCGGCTACTTGGCTAAACAAAGGGCTATAATCTTGAATGATATGGAAGTCTAGCTGCTACATGAAATATTTGACGCTTGGTAACAAATCAAAGACGAGTACCTATTGCATTTTCTTTTAACGCACATTTGCTCTTGAATTTGATCACTTTGCTTCAAAAATGAATTAAAACTGAGATATCTTGAATTTAATAGCGATTCTCTGTAACCACTTAAACTTCTTTGCCACGCATGGTCACCGATTTTGATGAAACTTTGCGCATTATTACAACCTGACACCAGAAACATATATCAATTAAAATTTCGTTGCTATGTGTCTTGGTTGCCATGGTAACAGCCATAAAAGTTGTAAAAATAGAGATTTTCAGCTACTTTAAATCTTTATTAAGCCTTGATAAAGACTAAGAAGAACAAACAAACCATTCTCCCAAAAACATGACACCTTGTTGCCACTTATGCTATAAAGAAACTATTTAGAATTTATCTCTAAGTAAGTGGTAACCATGGGTACATTTTGAATACATTTTAGATGCTGAAAAACGCTCAATATTCACAAATGATAGATGTTACATGATCAAACTCAATCAACAACCTAAGGAAAACAATGAAAAATATTTGACCTTATGTAATTAGGTATTGGCAATATTATTCTAAAAATAACTTTCATGGTTGCCATGGTAACACAGTGTCACCATGCAAAATATGTTGCTATGATTGGGTTAATGCTACTATCTTGAGGAAAAACAATAAAGTTCATGACTGGCACATATACATCCTTAGGACCTTGCAACACCTATAACATAAGAAAAATTGAGATTAATTGTTACTTTGCAGTGCAATCATGGAAACAACGTACTAGTTGTTTAAAGTGATATTTTTTTGCTGCTTTAGGAATTTACTAACCTTTTAATCAAGAAACGTATTATTTGAATCACCTTGAATAGTACTTATCTCGTAGAACTAAAGTTGAATATATTATATTGATAAAGGTTGTTGAAAAATACAACACTGTTGCTATGGTTACCAAGAAGAGAGAATGTTCGATTTTGTTAATTTATGTCAATATTAGACCCTATGTGCCAGCTTTTTGCATCCAGTTAGAGATTGGGTGGTATCAAAATTGAAAGTCAGGTTAGTTGTTGACATATATCAATAATTAAAGTTTTGGGAATCTACTTAAAAGGGTACGTATCCAAGGAAACAGAGTATTTTTCAGATTTTTATGCATGTTTTTTTCGCCTTATTTCCATAGCAACGCACTATTTAAAGAATTGAAATTGAATTTTTTGAAATGTGAAAATTAGGGTCACACCAACGCCTTTAACAATTGATCATCAGTTATATAGAAATATGCTTTTTAAAAAGATAGGATAAGATTAAAACACTAAGATAGTAAATTTAAAATCCCTTCGTGGTATTAAAACCATGGCAACCATTGCCAACCTATAAGAAATATCATATTTTGTCCTTGGTATATGTTACAAGGATCTCTTGTCTATTATTTGCTTTCATTTCAACCTAAAATTGTTTTTATTCTTAAGTGTATGACTTTATAAAATTAAATGAACAAAATTATTACTTTTGAATACATTGTTTCCATAGTAACGTATGCTATAGTTGATTTACCGAAGATGTTTATCACGCATTCAAGACACCAGGCCTTCAACTTTCGGAAACAGTCATTGCCACTTGTTTGCTTTGCCGCAAACGTTAACTGTGGGACTCTGAACATGTTGAAAAATGCCATTTTTCTAACTTTAGGATATGTTGCTATGGTAACCATGACACGTAGCAACCAATTTTTGCCTGATTTTAGTTTACAGTATCAAAGATTTTTATCATAGAGATTTTGGAGAAATTCTATGACTATGCGTGCCACAGCTCCTTTATAAAAGTTCAAGTCATTACAGAGAATGGCTCTTAAAATTTGTCACCTAGCGGCTATGTTAGCGTTCCGTTTAATCAGTAAAGTAATGTTGGCCGCTAAGATCTTGAAGGCTGTCCTGATATACATTAGCTAGGTTACTTGTACAGCTGTAGTAGGGGTACCGCCAATAAAGTATCAATTTTTGTACCATTGTGTTTTCTCTGGTGTCAGACCCGTAGAAACGGTTTCAAAAGTGTGTGGGGAGGGGGGGCAACTTCCCAAAGAAATCTGACAAGCTCCCCCCCCCTCAAAAAAAAAATTGACCAAAAGTGGGGGGGGGGGGGCAACTTCCCAAAATTATCTGAAAAGCCAAAAATAAAAGGTAATTTACTGTACAAATCCTACAAATTGCCAGTACTCAACCTTACAACGTCAAAAAGTGAAAGGGGGGGGGGGGACCAGCATCAAAGGCAAATTTACTATAGCAAAATATTATACTCAGAAAAACAGCCCCCCCCCCCCCCCACCTGCGTTCTACGTGCCTGGGTGTAACTTGAAGACATAGCTGGGTTTAAAAATAATGTAAAAAACACTGATAAGAATGTAAGGTATCGCAGTGCAGCATCGGTTCACGTATAATCCTATTTATATGATATAGGTGCCTAGTAAATAATTTGCCTAAACAAAACACTAATTTACAATAAGATAGGAAGTTATCATTTGAACAATTACAAATGTTCTATAACTAATCAATATATTTTAGCAAATGATAATCATTCAGACTAAAGATATTTTAGAATTTTACTCCTAAGGTCACCTGACACCCTTTCGATGATCAATGTTTTGTGTCTGTGTATTTTTATTATACCGTTTATGGCTAATTAGTGGGAAATATGAGGTGTACTAAGAAAAGATATTAAAACTATAATCATTATTATAATTCCAAATTTCGTATTTTAACATTTATTTTCTAGTAATGAAAATAAAAAAAGGTACAGTGTATACTGAATCAGAATTTTAAGTTAGAATCAAAATAAGAAAGTTTGTAAAAGTGTCAAAATAAAATAAAATTAAGAAATAATAATAAAATTGGAGAATTTAAAGAAGATATACCTAAAATCAGAATATTAATTTAGAATTAGGAAAACAAGAAGTTAGAACTAATATAATAATTTTGCCGACATATAGATTACTATATATAGAAAACATAGCTACTATATACTTGTTCCCCCTCAATAAAAACGTCTGATGACCTTTTTTTTTTTTTTTTTTTTTTTTTTTGCTTATCAAGGAATTTGTGGTAGTTGATAGTGCCCTCTCAACTGAAAATTTATGGATGTGCCCCCCCAAACCGAAATTGCTTCCTATGGGCCTATTTAAATAAAAATGTTTTTAAAATATGGAAAAATAAGAAGTTAAAATAAGAAATAAGAATATCGAAAGATAGACACTGGAATCCACCCCATAGATGATTATCGAGTGTATTGATAATATATAAGGTACTAAAATCATGCTCATGTGCATTTTCACATATTAATAGGATCTATGAGGGTGGCTGTATTATCCAATGTACGCTTGTAAAAGTTGTCTCCTTTAGCGAGGTCAATCAACGCAAAGGTCAGAAGGGAAAGACACATTTCTCCTTTTTCTACTTCAAAACATCAATTGGGTCTGCTCCGTTAAGTTTACCGAGTTAAAAAGATTTTTACCAGTCATATGACAAAGTTGCATCAGAAAATTACAAAGGCTACTTTGAGAATTCTATGGTTTTTTTCCCCCCAAAGGGACCAAGGGAGAAATGTTGTTTTGAAATTTAAAAGCCGAGGAGTTGCCCGTTAGCACGGGGTTATCCTGCATCATCCACGACAAGAACTTTCACGGTAACTGGATAATTAGCTCAAGGTTCATCGTCCCTCTGATAAGGGGGACAACTCTCACTGGAATAAATGACTATCATTTCCTTATAAAATATTCGAGTGAAGAGGCCATTTCCGTCAAATTCTGCACCGTCGCCGCTAGAGACGAACCTTAAGATCGTCGCCATTTTGTATTTACACTATGTCAACATGCACACAGAAATTTTGTTTTTAAAATTTATTGTTTTAAAATAGAAAATGGCTATATACAAATTGTAAGTTGTTAGTCCCTAATACATAATATCATATCTATAACACCATTAACAATAACAAATTATAAAATTTCCTTCCATACGTACTTTCATACAACCCGTCTTACAAGAATAGATATTTTCACACAAAACACCTTTAAATTCACTCGTATTTCAAACATATTGATTCAAACGTACAATCTTTTTAATTGTAATGCCATGATACGACTCCTAAAATATTTAATTAATTTTATATTCAACAACAACTCATGTACACGAAATTACTTAATTTTGAGGACGTAAAAGGAGAAAAAATAAAAAGTCCAATTTATTATTATTCGTGAGTAAAATATTTTCCTTGTCATAAGTATTTGTAAGAAAGTAAAAATTGTGGTTATTCTTTGGACTGATATGTTAATCAGCAAAATAAGCTGAACTAAAATACACACTAATAAATTGTAATTAAGGTTTTCTTCTGCTGTATCTTTAAGATGTAGCTAACTTTTGAATAAATGAATAAAATTAAAGATTTAAGATAGCTGCACTTTAAATGAAGCAGAATGTCAAGATTGTTTAAATGGTGAAACCAACAAAGGATTTAAAATGTGAATCATTATTACTTACTGAATTTAAAATCATATGGTCATTAAGCTTGTAGTTTGGCATGAGGAAGAAAAAATCTAGGCATATGTGACTCACTTTCATTTTCACGGCAATTAAACTTGTGTCTTAATTTTAGAATGGTACAAGACATTACAAGACAGGCTACTAGTAAAACAAAGACAAACGCAGACATAACTATGATGACAATCAGGATCTCCTGAGAGCGGAAACATGTCTTTTCTTCTGCTGGTGATTCTAAAATAAAGAAAATATGGATATTATTATCTGCTAAACATTTCAAATAAAGTCTAAAATATAACCTACTAATCATATATAGTTGTTGGGGTCAATGTTCAGTTCATACAAATTACCACTGCTGGCTTGGACTCCTTATTTCCAAACAAAGACACACCCAATAAGAAATATATTTCTTTGTCACAAATAAGTAAAAAGTATACTAGTCTATCCTTCAATAGACCGACAAAGTATCATGTGACTTACTGGGCATTTCCTTAGTCGATAGATTGCATAAATAATTCAATCAGGACAGTTGGAGTTTGAGTGGAAAATAGATAGTGCCTATCAAATTACATTAAAACATACAAACAAGTGTTATTCAATATACCTGTTGTTGGTGGAGGTACACTGGTTACTTGATTGGCACGCCATTGAGATTCAAATGGATCAACAACAGAAATCTTAGCAGAAAATATTTTCCCTTCTTCCCCTGATGCTGCTCGCCTTCTTCGTCTTGCGGGGGCAGGAGGGTCGGTAGGAACCGCATCAAGTGGAACATCTGTAGCTACATCGACGGGAGCTCCGCCATCAGCTGGGGCGACACCAGGGACATCAGTAGGAGCCACATCAGTGGGAACTGCATCAGCTGGACCATTTGTTGGTGCCACTGGCGCAACATCTGTTGCTGCAGGGGCAGCGTCGTCCGCTGCAGGTGCCCCACAATTCTGTTAAAAAGACATTTATTGTTAAAAAAGGGAATGTGATAAGAGGATGACAAGTAACATTGTCGTATACAAGTGTTTGAAAATATGAACGTGCTTTAAATGTTATAAGAAAATGTATTCAGATATGATATTTTATGAACTCTGAAAGAGGATGTCAAAAGGCAGACACAGACGATAACAGACAAGTGAACACATACCGGATTACAATCCTCGCCATCTCGGCAGATTTTTAATTGACAGTTGAAAGCTACGTTTCCTGTACTTTTGAATTTGAAAGCGTAGATAGGCAAGATTGCAGCAGCAACTTCTCCTTCTCCTCTGACGGGATGGGTAATTCTAGTAAGAGTTTGTCCATCAGTATTTACCATTATAGCGGCTCCGGCTTCAGTAGGACATCTGTCCAGGAAGAAAATATGTAGATATGTAGCTATCTAAGATTTAGGTTGAAACTCCTTCAAATCTGGCACAAATTCATAGCCCAAACATAAAAAGAATATGAGATCCTTGGAGTGTATTTTTACATGTAATTATATTTATCCTCAGAGTAAGAACTTTGAATACATACCCCCTCTCCAAGAATTGAAAACTATTTCCGTTTTCTAATCTGGTATCATTTGCAGTGCAGTCCTCCATTCTCAAATTTTTATACACTGAAAATGAAAGAAAAAAAAGTTTTCAGACTACCTTTTCTATATCATTGTCAGACCATATCTATATGATAAATGAATTCCAGATGATATTTCGTCGCATTATATTTATGTCAAGTATCATCCATATCCAAAGTTTTAATATACATGTTCATATAGCCATAAGAAATACCTATGAAATCCAAATAGGATCACACAGTCACTATTGCACCATCGAGATTTGGGTTGATGGTTCAATGGCACGATGGTGCGATGACAATATGGCACAATGACGCAATGGAGCAATAGCACTGTGACGCAATGAGATAACACAATGATGTAGAAAGGATGATAATATGACGATGAAGCGATGTTTGCTATTGCTCCATCATGCTATTACACCACTGCCATCGCGTCATTTTATCATCATTCTGGCATTATCACAAAATCATCATGGCACTACTGCACCGTTGCGTCATCGTCATCACCATCGATTCCAAATTCAGTGCTCGATAGTGCAATAGTGAACTACTGTACGTGGTTGTTGTGGATTTGTTTCTGAAAAAGGAGGCATGTGGGCGAAAAATCAAACACAATATACAACTTAACTCTAAATTAAATACACATCATAAAGCATACATCTACTTTAGTTTATGCATCACTGCTGCACTATTTTTGTTAATTCTTTCGTAACCAGTAACTAAATTATTTTATTCAGTTTGTTTTATTTTTAAAGTCGTTTTTAAGCGACTTTTTGATTTCATATCGATACAAATTTTCATTAGTGATTTAATTCAACTTTATGTATTTACATTAGATGTACGTACCAACGTAGGAAATATACATGGTATGCTTTAAACTGATGCTTTGGATGTAAGGATATTGAGATCCTGCGTACTTGCCTATAGTTGAGTAAAACATACACATTGGTGTTCGTTTTTTGAAGGAATTCTGCCATTGTGCATTCCCAGACCCAGTGCAAATTAAAACTTAAATCAAAAGGAACCCAGTAACTTTGAATTCAGTGAACACTTGTGTTCAACAAGACCCCAGTCACATTTATAATAGGTAGAAAATTTAAAGTTTGATCTGCCAGAAAATGATAAGTCCTCGAACTATTTTTTCTATGCTAGTTTATTTCATTCTGCCCATGGTACCCTTTAAGCGTGTAAATACAGAGCATGCAGAGGGCATGGGTTTGTGTTTGGCTTTATTCATGTATGTTGGTCTCACCTGTTTCGTCATCCAGATAGAACCTAAGTTTGATGACGTCACCGACATTGACTTGACCGGTAAGATTGGTGTCATCTTCATTGAGAACATTCATTCTGACAGGGGAATAATCACCGTCCTTCTTATCCGTCTGCAGATTTCTCCTTTGAAATTAATAAAATAAACCTGAAGTAAGTCTCTGAATCAATTTCTTTTCCCGCGCAAAAACGATTAGAGTGGTTGAAGACTATACCGTCTCAGATGTTTATTCGTGCAAAGCAATTACTGTCTGTGACGTAAACAAAATAATAATTATAATTACTCGCAAACGGTGTTTCCATAGTGATATATAATCAGTCAAGTCTATTTTATGTCGGATTACAGGCAGAAGCCTTTGATTCAACTTTACAATTGACAGACGCCTGTATAGCCGTATTCCTGTGCCATTTTAAGTACTTAAAAGTTTTCAGTATACAGTGACTGATATTTTGATTGAAGTTCTATCATGAAGATTAGAAGTTGCCTTGTTACTCACGATTTATCAAGATCGACCTGGTCAAGTCGAGTACCCAGTGTGTAATTACTGGTAGAGTGGATACAGACAAATGTTAATTGTTCATCATAGTCTGTTATAAACATTGTACTATAGGTCTTCACAATAACGGACGAAAATACAGAGTCTCCATTCTGAAACCAAAAAATAGGTATATTGCTAAGACAATGTTCAACTTAACCTTGACAAATATAAAGTATCATACTCAAGGTCAAAAGTGACACGGTTGTGTTTTTTTTTAATCTTTCAAACCATTATTTCAAGAGTAAATCGTAAATACTGTTTGTTTCGATAGATTTTTTAAAGCATACCCACCTCATTTACGGTTTCATTCAGTGTTGCGTTTATGCATGGACTGGTTCTGTCAAACGGAATAGTGAATGTATATGGTATATAATTGTCAGGTCTTGCTGCTGTTGCAGTGAATTTACACTCCTCTGGTACCACATCATCGTTGGATCCGTCCCTCTGAGAGTAGATCTCTCCCCTAAAACCGTTTGGTACAATCACTGTGATATCAGTCCCCTCTCCACGGCATTCCATGGAAGCTGCAGAAAAGTTGTACATTGAATATCTAAATTAATGATCACATATTTCTCTTCTGTAATCTCATATATAAATAATTTTATTTATTGGTAAATGTATTTGCCCAAACGAATTCAATATTTGTTGTATTTCATGTTCAGAAATTCCATCAACCGACATAAGAATAAATTGTTGTAACAATTTTTTATATTTTATTGGTCTTTAAGAAGACTTACAGATAGGAGTTTCACACTGGGCTCCAATATAGTCGGCAGTACAGAAACACTGGTCAGTATTATAACAGGTACCACCATTCCTGCAATCAGCTGCGTTGTCATCGGGGCAGATAAGGGCTACAAATTACAATAACATTCGCATTTCTCAAAATACTTAACAAATCAGTGCATGTTTTGTATAGTAGATGCTTACAATGTCTCGTGCATTCAGAACATATATTGGTTTTATATTTGTTGTGGCTGTTTAGATAGGTTCTTTTAAATTTACTTATTCCCTACTTACCGGTCTCAAGCCCACAATTGTACCCCTCAAATCCTGGTGGACAGGTACAAACTCCAGAGTCGCTGTCACACGTTCCCCCATTTAAGCATCCCCCAGTTAGCCTATTTCGACAATGCCACTTTGCGAATACTGACAAAAGAACAGTAATATATGTTATTTGTACCTTATCTCAAGACACTGAAACCTGATACAAGATAATTCATTATTTAGAATAGTTTAAATTTAAATGCATATATTTCTAACCTATTTTACCCTTAGTAATAACCATCATAACACGAAAGAGTCGTTTATATGTTAAGATCGTAGGATACCCAAAATTCGGAGAAAGTGGGGATTTGATCATACTCCTTTCTTTTTTGTTTTAGGTTTAAATTAATTTGTTACAAAATTGAATTAGAATATATTTGAATTTCTTTTGGGTAAATTTCTACTTTTTTTTCATGTTTTTGTATTGAATTTCAATTTAGATATAAAAGAAAAAATTTGGGGAGAATGAAAAAATAAGGCTGATTTTGGGGGATTTTTTTTTGGGGGGGGGGATTATTTTTCCTGCACAAATAGTTCGACAAGTTTCTATAACATATCTTTTGAGTATCATATTGAAAGCTTTTATATATACATGTATATATATCATGATAGAATCTTTAAACATTCAAGTTATCCCGAAATGACTGTTTTTGGGTGTTCTGAAAATTGTTCTCGATTTAGGATGACTAAACACACGAAACACACAAAAAGTATGTTTACCATGTTAATTGTAAGAATAATTGTAGGACAGTTAAGAGGAATATATTTACATTTGTATTTGTTTTCTGTTGTAGATTAGATTGATTTAGTTTTTCCTGTCAGAGAATAACAGCAGCAAATCAGGATATTGCTAACAATACACATATCATTTCAAAAACAGCGTGACTTTTGTGGTCAACAATCGAACAACGAAATTTGGGCACGTTCCAAACGTAATGTTATGATTTTCAGAATTGATTCCCGGCTTATTGAAATCTGGAGTTTCTGCATGTGTCAACCGGATCATAGAATCCTTTAAGGGTCACGTGGTTCTTTATGATTCTTTGAACTCTGAAATCTTCAACCTTCTTATAAACTCTTCTGTCCAAACTTCATTTCTTATACTATACAATATCGCAATTAAGAGAAAGATTTTTACAATCAACGAGGTCATTCAACCGTCATTGGTCATTCTCTTGGATTAAGTAATCCAATCAAATTGATTCTAGTGGATATACCAAATTTCGTTGTAGGCTTGTTGATCAAAAAAAGGCAAGCTGTTTAGAAAGTTATATCAAAATGATACTCACCAATATTTACAAAAAGGATGAATCCAACAAAAAGAATTTCTTTAAGATTCATCGTTTTTTTTTTTTCTAGAAAGAAAAAAAAAGTAAAATGTCTACGAATTTTTCTCAGACCTTTGTTTTGCAATGTAATAACCTATATGTATATCTGCAAAAAAAAAAAAAAAACGCGCATGTGGTTTCATATTCATAAGTTGTGTAACCTTTACATAACTTTTGAAAGTCAAAAAATAATGAGTTTAAAATTAATTAATATTGGCATTCCTAATGTAGGTGTTCCCTAACAGTTTCAGCATTTTCTGATGTGTTGGAATGCTTCCCTAATGTCATTCCTTCGCTCATTATCTTTGTCATTAGTCTGTGCAAAACAGTCAGTAAAAGTACACAGTGTAAGGTTCCTTCCATAAAATTTACATATTGTTGTTTTGTTAAACACTTCATATACAAATCACTAGTGAAAACTAAATATGTTATTTAATCATGTTTAATGCAGTTCAATTATTCCTTTCTTTTTATTCTCAAAAAAGTTGCATACACATATTATTATATATACGTAGATATAGTGTAAAAAAAAAAATCGGTAATATCAAATTAACATGCGTAAATATCAAAAAGTTTACGATGCAATTGGTGCATGATACATCATTTACGGAAAATGTTTTAATTTTTTTGTGTATAGTTATAATAAAAGAACTTAACAAATTGATTACAATTCTCGTTCCATACAAACATATCTCTAAATTGGTTCAAAATACATTAATGAATGTAAGCCAGTAGACATTTACTATATAAAGTGTACATTTACCTTGATAAGTTTTGACCCCTTAAAGTTAAACACAGATAATAACATAATTATTCTAGGAAATCAATAGATATACACAAGTATTAATAATGGTGAGGTAAGGCCAATAAAGTTGAAGAAAACCACGCCCTTGTCCTTCTAACAGTTACACTATATAGCTAGGTGTAACAGAATTGTAAGTGTCATCACTCCCACATTTATGCATAATTTTAAAATGAATGACGTTGTAAAATAAAATTGTTCCAATGTACCTGCTGTTTGAGTTAAAAGTTATTAATGTAAAATAAAATCAGAGCTATTTGAAATGACAGAAAAAGAAATAACGAGTTTTGGAATGAAAATAATAGCACAAATGAATTAGCAAAGAAGAACAGGCGAAGTTACATCCTAGTATATATATCCCACGTTGTCTGGTTTGAATCTCTTTTTGAAAATGAACTTTTTTCAGCCCCTCATTCTTCTTTTGATGCAAACCAATCTTACAAATGGATCACTTCAAAAACTTAATTTACTAAAAGATTACTGACAGATAATGAACAAAAATCCATATAGGAAGTATTTTATCTTTTATTAAGTACATCTTATACATGTATTACTTAATATTTAAGAGATGTTTTCTCAGATTGAAAATTTTCTGCAGGAAGAAATTTCATTTAATCAGTTATCACGAATTTAACAATTTAACATAACTTATCCACGAAATAAAAATGAAAGGAAGGATAGATTTACTGGTTCTTAGAGTAGTTTTAGTGTCATTTGTGAATAAATACAGATAAAGTATAAGGCAATAGTTCACTTTATGGCATTAAATAGTTTTCTTCATTTGTCTTGAAAATGACAAGGATATTACCTTTTTTTAAATTGTTAAATATTGTAATAAATAAAATAGATGTGACTCATTAAATAAATAAAAATAATCTTAAGAGTATGGCACATTCATTAATGTAGTAAAATCTTCAATCGTATCATATAACATTTCATAAGTTGTTGTACATGTATAAACATTATAAATGATATTATCACTTACTGTTATGTGAAGTCCTAAAAGTTGAAGCTCAGTAAATGTTGCTATGACACGTTTGTTTTAATTTCTAAATGAATGTTCTCAGTCGTAATCTTTATAAAAGATTTGTCCACACACTCGCCCCACAGTGATGAATTGTCCACAAAAAATCTAATTTTTTTGAAATTCAAATGAGCGCACGCATGATCAATTGCGCGTCACTCAGAAGTTTCACAGCCTTTCTAGTACTTGTGAGATCTTATGAATGACATACATACTTTCTCTAGGACTTCGTACCAATCAAAATTCAGATGCAACCAAAGACAGAGGTTCATTTTTGTGTGAAGGATTAAAAAAAAATCAGCTCAAATCTATTCCGATATGTAATACATTTTTACATGATGGCATGCCTTCCAAAATGATCAATTTACATTGAAAATAATATTATTTTTAACTTAAAACAGAATAAATATAAATCAATTGTCTTCTTAATTATTTAGTTAGTATTAGTCCCTTTTAAGTGCCCCGTCTGAATGTTAATTTGAAGACGCCTCACTTACCTGACATTATGAATGTAATTCAAAACGTAACGACCAACGTGTTGTCATCAGAGATCCTTTTTCCAAGACCGAAAATGCCACGCCACAGGACTGCGCCCTGTATTACGAAGATGAAAAAATAGTACAGTTATTATTTGTTTGGTCCAGGAACTCTGTCCAATATGCGTATAGATTGAAAATTCTTGATTTAATTTTTATAATTTATCTTTCCTTAATCATAATTGTCTACATGATGCAATATTTTTTTAGATTCAAGTGCAGGCTTGATTTATGTTTCTATTTGTGAGATGTATTCTAGCTGTATTAAAATGTTTATGTAAAAATTAATGCGTCTTCAGTTCGTTTATACACAGGAATGGATCATTTCTATACCTTTTCTTTCATACACTTCATGTAAAGAACAATGTTTTGTCATACATGTAGCATCATAAACTGCTTCTTTAACCCTTTAACCTACAAAAACGAAAATAGGTCAAGCTAATGAACTGTGATCAGTCTCCTTAATCCTGTAAATCATTCAAACTAGAATAGGGCAAAAACACGGACCCCTGGGAACATCAGGCCCCAGGATCATGAAGGAATCTTAGACTTTAAGTCAAAATTTCAGATCATTCATGAAATAATTATTAGAAACTGATTCTTGAAAAATAAATTTGACAGCATGAAAGGGAAACAAACTTTAACATTTAAAATTTTATGTGATTTCGATACTAAAAAAATTAGACAATTTACAATACTTGACCTAAGACTGTTTCATGAACCTGGGGTCTGAGGTGGGATCAGGTGCCTAGGAGGATTAAGCATCCTATGTCGACCTGTCGTGAGCCCTCTGTATTGATCAGGTAAATTGAATGCAATGCTAGTAATTCGAAGTCCCAGTTTAGAGTGAAATATGTGGAGATAACGAGCTCAAAAGTCCGTTAAACATTACAAAATAAAAGCAGAGCAAACACGGACCTCTAAAACTTCAGAGGTGGGATCAGGTGCCATGGAGGAGTGAGCATCCCCTGCCGACCGGTCACACCCGCCGTTTGCTCCTTGTCATGATCGGGAAATAACGGAAAAATCCGTCGACAATTCAGTGTGTAAATAATGGCCTAACAAAAAGTATGAAAAAAGTCAGTCAGCATTTGACTTAATGATAGATTGTATTTGCTGACAAGGCCAATGTATCGACCACAGAACTTACGAAATGATGACTTTAAACGAGAAAATATGTAGTATTTACTGGGACGAGAAATATGGGTATTTACAACAGGTAAATTAGCACCACTAGTATTTCCCGGCCAACCCTGAAGTGGAATACTAGTAATTCGAAGTCAAAATGGCATAAAAATACATTGGACCAGCAATTGGTTGGAAATATGTCAGTCAAAAACGACCCAAAAATAGGTTGCACATGCATTTGCAAACAAGGTCATTATAACGATAATGCTGATTTTAAACAAAATTATAGCAAGCCATGTAACATCAACTTATCTGTTAATAGCTTCCTTCTGTTGAAAAATTTATCGTACTCAAAACCATCTCTTTCAGTTTTGCGCTTGTGAGTAATAAACACAATATGCATTCGATAATGGAATATATTAATAGGGGAAAATACCATAAAATCATCACGTTTGTTATACCGTTTAATTTTTAGTCTGCCATTAATATCTATGTTTAATAAAACATCCAAAAATGATACAGATGTAGCAGACTCCGTGATGTATTTTATCTCGAAATGAAAGTATGTTTAATGATAATGCGTAGTCGATATACATGTATCTACATGTTGAACTGAAGGCCACAGCAAAAGTCATGTGACAGCTTCTAATTTACGTGTAGAAGTTTTTGAAAAGATTTTGTTTCAAAAGAATACAAAAACAGGCTGGCTAATAAAGGAACTCAATTAGTGCTCATACTCATAGGGATTCCTGCATATATACTGCATAGATATTGTCAATGAGGAACTGCAGCATATTTCTAGTAACATCTTCAAGGTACTTGTATGTAGAAACAGGAAGATTTCAAACGAAGTCATTTTGTAGATGACCAGTCACCAGATGTAAAAAATTTCCGAGTTCTTTTTTTTCATAAAGAAGTTGTTGTCAGTGATGTCACAAGGTATGGTCTTTAATTTATCAGGAAGATTTTGTATCAAGTTTTGAAAAGTCATGCGTCGTGATCGTGATGTAAGTGATTAAAAAATGATATCATATTTTCCAAAAGTTGTTTGGAGTTTTAAAGAATCCAAACTTCATTTACACCTCTTCTTGAATATATTGTCGCACAGTACAGTTTCTCTCTTCACAGCAGTTAATAATTGTTGCGATAAAAAAAAAAAAAGGACCCGGCGGTAGAGCATTTACTTGACCCTGCAGTGTATATATGAAGTTTTGGAATCCAGTTTAGATACGGTAACTCAAAGTCAGGTAAACGAAGAAATCTTAAGTACCGTTGTATAGTGCATATAAATGCTTAACTTGTTGAAAAATGATATTTTTTCCATCAACAAAATTATGTTTAACAATTGTTTCTTACATAGAAGAAATAAAGGAGGAAGGGCGTGCATTACCTTTGAAACTGTTTAGGACTTCCTAAAGTTTGCATATGTCTGCATAATAATTCAGTGTAGTGTGCAGCTGGGCATAATTTATTTTAATCAGGTTTTGATTACAGACACAGGAGAATACTTAAAAGGAGTCTGGTTCAGAGAAATGACAAATAATGATATTTGTCTGCTTGCTTTGGCGATAAGCGGCTACAGTTAATGGTAAACAATGCCATTTCTGGCGAACTTCCTAACTCTCTGTAACCAACGTATTATGTTGCAGATGCAGGTTCTCTCAAGGAAAACAGTGGAAATATAAACTGGTATTCATATTTACGTCGGATCATTATGTTCAGAATCTTGGAGAGTATAAACGTGGAAAACACCAGCAGCAATAGGACAAAAAACTGGAAAATGCCGATCAATGACGATTTGAAATTATCATTGATAAATCATGAATACTAAGGAAGAAAGCTTTGTCTTACCTTTGGTGATGTTCCAGTATTAAAAATGCTCATGGATCTATTTTTAAAGCAAGATCATCGATTATGTGTCGCTAGATCTAAACGATGAGTTATAATCTATAAGCCAGGATGGCCGACCACCTTTTAATTTAAAATATCAACATATGATGTGCACAACAGAGAGATCCGAATCGGATTATGTAAGTCATATCTGGGTGAATTTTGACTTTCGCAGACATATTTCATTTCACTTTAGTTTAGGTATTATAAATGAAATTCTTTACAATCATGTAACTTTAGCATTTTAGAATAAACAGCTGTTTAATTAACCTTATGTTTTTTTATGCAATTATTTTTTCACATGTATTAGATAGAGGTTTTTCATTGATAGGTATAATAGCTCATTTGCACAAAGCATTCATTTTTTTGAATGAATCATTTAAACGAAAAATATGTTGCCTATTTAAAATTTTCAAAAATAATGAAGTTAAATTACAATTTCACAAAATTAAAAAAAAATGAATATGTATATTCTTTAAATAAAAAATTGCAGTAACTAAAAATAATCGGGCATGTATGCATTTGTATGACTTTATATATATAAGTAGATACACATGCATAGACAAAACGGAATTCGTAGAGAGGCAATAACTCTGCATAAATTGCAAGCTAACAATCTATCACCTTTATTTTTTTTTTTTAAATCATCCAGGCCACTTTGTGATTCACGGGTCAGCCATCACCCCTTCAGTAATGTAGGAGGTTTTCATTATCCCATTACTGTCTGAATTTTATTTGATCAATTTCTGTGTCAGTTTTTAGCTTGGATAATATATATCATGATTTATCAAACTTTTTTTCGCCTCCTTTGCCTACAGATATTCATATAAAACTCGCAATATATCACAATTAGTATTTTTCTTTATTTGATACCAGTATCAAGCTTCTATATATTCTCAATCATGAAGTAACATACTTTCAGATCATTGCATGCTCTAATGCTTTTAAATTCAAAATTTCGGGAAGGGGACGGAGGAGGATGCCGAATTGCATTTAAACAATGACATTAAAAAATAAAATAAAATGACAACATTAAACTATAACGGTTTTTTTTAATATACATTGAGGTGTTTAAAACAGATAATCAGAAATTACATTTTTATAACATTTTCCCGACACGCATTTGTTGATTTTTTTTTTTTTTTTGACTGATAAAAAAATTAAGAGACCACAAATGGTTTTGTATGTATATGCGCTACGCACATTGATGAAGTTTTCCGACCAAGTTTTCTTTGATATATACCTTGATCAAAGAAAAAAATAGAAGATTCATTTCTTTAATAATAAAATTTTGTCAAAATCAATAGCATCAAAACATGTGACTTTCTCCCACTCCCCAAGATAAATTAAAGGCCTGGCTTTTTTACATCATAGACAACTGAGAAAAACAATCCTACTTTACCCTAGACTAGAAAAAAGACTGGAGGTCAGAATGCAGGATGATTGAGCAAGGAGTGCTGGCAGATGGACTATTGAGGTACATGTACATGTATAAGAAATATGGACACAACTTTATCTAACTATCATGTAATGCAGCATCTGTGCTGCTATGTAAAATATATTACTTTTCTTTAAATTATAGGTCAACAAAAAATTTGGACTTTCACCAGGTGGACACATGTTCAGCAAGAAATTCTCACATCAAATGAATGATGGCTGTCTGTGGAAAAGAGATTTTCTCAGAATATATCATGTCAGAAGCAGGAAGTACATATTTATCTGATCAAAGAAATGTTTTTGTAGAAATGTGGATTTTAAGCAAGAGCATGCCGAACAAAATTGCTGGTAGTGGCTGGATTAAAATTTAGATTTTTACAAATGAACTACATATACATGTACTTGCAGTAGAAACCCTCAAGAGGTAATTTTTAATTCAATTTCAATACAAGTTATTGACACTGATCAATAAGACCGCGGAACATTAACTGGCAAAATTGGAAATGTACAGCTTACGTCTTTTCCATCTGTTACAGTCAAAACATGTAATGATAGACAATGAAATGGGCGGGTACAATTGGGCACGGACGTCCGAGAAAACATTGGATTGAAATTCTAGTTTGAAATTCATTTTCAATCCACCTGAGCTGTTTTCAAGCGCAGAGTGTGATTGTATGATCCGAAAGACAAATAATTGTAATTCCCAAATACATGTTGTTTGAAATTCATATTTATCATTGTTTATATGAGTTTTAGCCTATAATTTTAAGGACACGTAAGTCATAGAAGACAGAGATTATTTTTTCAGATTTGATTCTAGAAAGGGGGGGGGGGTAAAAAATTGTCCAGTCAGATCATGCCTTCACATGACAAATTATGATTTTCTCTAGGATGACAAGAGGTATTTTTTTTAGTTTTGTCTTTACTGAAAAATGTTTGACAATCAAAAACTTGGGAGGGG